CTGTTTTTAATTTGCTGCACTGTTAGGCACGTCATACATTATCTCCGTCAGTGTCCTTTTTTGTAGTATACCACTGTTATTGTACTTCAGACATTTTTTTCGTAAATTTCCTGTTTTGTACTATGCTGCAGTTTTGTACTATAGTTTTTCCAACTAATCGCACTACCATACCTTATACCAAACCCTGCCTTCATTCTTGTATGAAGTGAGTTCCTTTTCCAAGATAGGCAAATGGCAATATACATATATGGCTGTAAATCATGTTGGAGCATATTTTTGTAAACGTGCAAAAAAATCCTTACGGAAATGATTGCGTTCCTAATGGTTGACAATATCTTCGTTGAGTCCGATGGCAGCACAACAGACAGTAGGCATACCTGTTGGATCAAACTGTGTCCTTATTCTGGCCTGTTTTAGTTTTTATTTTGCTCTGAATTTATTGACAAGGTTGTCAGGAGTGGTAATAAAAAACCTAGCTAGGTCGCTCAATTTCACATTTAACACACGATGTGCTGTCTTTAAAAAACAAGATGTTTATAGACCATGGTAATGGTATATACCCCCCTGAGCTTAGCAAGCACGACGGAAACGATTAGCGGTACGATTTCGAATATCCGGTTGTGAACTTTCCGTTCCTTGAAAGTAATATCCCTGCAACCCCAACCTACGTCGCAGGGGATTTGGTATTCTAGAGCTTGCTTCGAATATCATGACTACCATGATAGATACCGACTGCTGACGGACAAAGTTCAAGGTTTCACAAGACACAGGTTGAAGACTATGGACAAGTCGCCCTCATGTTCTCAATGCGAAATATGCTATTTATTTGTGTGATAAGAAGGTCAATGCTATTTATTTGTGTGATAAGAAGGTCAATGCTATTTATTTGTGTGATAAGAAGGTCAATGCTTTTTATTTTGTTCATAAGCGTGTCTTGTGGAGTTGTCACTAACTGAGGTATCGATTTGAGGACGTCACATTTCTTGGCTGTGACCTAGATTTACATGCTGGGTGTCGTCGGTGAAGCAAAAGACGTTTTCCCTTCCGGAACACCTGGTCTTATTCTCATTGTAGTTTTTCAGGTGTTTCCATTTTAATCTTTTCATGTTTCATATTTTGCCATATTTTATTAATTTTATGGTTTTGTTGGTACATTCTCATGTTGTTTTGTTTTATAATGTATTGTTACACACGTAAATATCCTGTTTTGTATTGAATTTGGAGACAGAATCAATGCGTGTCTTTGTACAGCTGAATTCGTCTATATCTATATACACTTTATTTATTTTACAACAATTATGAAACAAGTTATTTCCACTAATATTAATCACTCTTGTTAACATTGATGTTAGCGAGCGGATGGTCTATATGTGGAAGGAAACCGGAGTACCGGGAGAAAACCATGCGGTCGGGCAGGTGACCCCATACCTTTTCACGTCCGATCGGGGAATCGAACCCCGGCCGCCTTGGTGAAAGGCAGGTGGGCTATCCACCGTGTGTCAAGTGGTCATTGTACGAATCTACATACTTATGTACAATATCACAGGATACTTCTGTACAATATCACATGATACTTATGTACGCCATCATATTATACGTATATACACTATCATATGATACTTATGTACACTATCGCATGATAATTATGTACAATATCAAATTTTACTTATGTACACTTTTACACGACAATTATGTACACTATTACATGATATTTATGTACACTATCACATGATATTTATGTACACTATCACATGATACTTATGTACACATTTACATGATAATTATGTACACTTTCACATTATACTTATGTACACTGTATAATATCACATGATAGATATACTGTCTCAATACATTCTTATAAATTGTATCACATGTTACTTATGTATAGTATTCAATGCTTTTTATAGTTTTTTGGTATGATATTCAGCACCCGAAATAGTATTTGATCAAATAAACTCTATTTTCCTTTATTTATTTATAATTTTATTGGTTCCTTTCTTATTATAATTGATTTGTAAAATATGACGGCGTTACAATAACTTCTCACTTACTACAGGTCCGAATTTCGGTACGAACGCACCTAGAGAATTATCAACATCAGTCGTATAACTCCTACAGATATGGTGTTACTTACTGCTATTAATGTGGACCCCAGTTGTTCCATTAGAAAGTAAATCTTCGTACAAAAATTGAATGTTGACTTGATTTTTACACCGTAGTTTCGTCTCCACTAACGAGCTATTCACACCGCTTGTTTCTACTGAATCAGCTATGCACACTACTTGTAAAGAGCACAACCGTCTGAATTCTCTCACTGGCAGCTGGGTGTTGTCAGCATGGAGTCCACGCTGTCTTTGGTCTTTTTTTCTGTTGCGACCTTTTATATTTTGTAGTTACATAATATCTTCTGTGGATGATGTTTGTATATTTGAGACCTTGATAATGACTTGGGTATTCTCGCCAGGTAGATGATGTTTGTTTATTTGAGACCTTGATAAGGACTTTGTTATTCTCGCCAGGTAGATGATGTTTGTTTATTTTAGACCTTGATAAGGACCTTGCTATTCTCGCCAGGTAGATGATGTTTGTTTATTTAAGACCTAGATAAGGACTTGGCTATTCTCGCCAGGTAGATGATGTTTTTTTATTTGAGACCTAGATAATGACTTTGCTATTCTCGCCAGGGAGATCATGTTTGTTTATTTGAGACCTAGATAGGGACTTTGCTATTCTCGCCAGGTAGATGATGTTTTTTTATTTGAGACCTAGATAATGACTTTGTTATTCTCGCTAGGTAGATGATGTTTGTTTATTTTAGACCTTGATAATGACCTTGCTATTCTCTCCATGTAGATGATGTTTGTTTATTTAAGACCTAGATAAGGACTTGGCTATTCTCGCCAGGTAGATGATGTTTTTTTATTTGAGACCTAGATAATGACTTTGTTATTCTCGCCAGGTAGATGATGTTTGTTTATTTGAGACCTTGATAAGGGCTTTGCTTTTCTCGCCAGGTAGATGATGTTTGTTTATTTGAGACCTTGATAAGGGCTTTGCTATTCTCGCCAGGTAGATGATGTTTGTTCATTTGAGACCTAGATAAGGACTTTGCTATTCTCGCCAGGTAGATGATGTTTGTATATTTGAAACCTAGATAATGACTTGGCTATTCTCGCCAGGTAGATGATGTTTGTTTATTTGAGTCCTAGATAAGGACTTTGCTATTCTCGCCAGGTAGATGATGTTTGTTTATTTGAGACCTTGATAAGGACTTTGCTATTCTCGCCAGGTAGATGATGTTTGTTTAATGGAGACCTAGATAATGACTTTGCTATTCTCGCCTGGTAGATGATGTTTATTTATTTGTGACCTAGATAAGGACTTTGCTATTCTCGCCAGGTAGATGATGTTTGTTTATTTGAGACCTAGATAAGGACTTTGCTATTCTCGCCAGGTAGATGATGTTTGTTTATTTGAGACCTTGATAAGGACTTTGCTATTCTCGCCAGGTAGATGATGTTTGTTTATTTGAGACCTTGATAAGGACTTGGCTATTCTCGCCAGGTAGATGATGTTTGTTTATTTGAGACCTTGATAAGGACTTGGCTATTCTCGCCAGGTAGATGATGTTTGTTTATTTGAGACCTTGATAAGGACTTGGCTATTCTCGCCAGGTAGATGATGTTTGTTTATTTGAGACCTTGATAAGGACTTGGCTATTCTCGCCAGGTAGATGATGTTTGTTTATTTGAGACCTTGATAAGGACTTGGCTATTCTCGCCAGGTAGATGATGTTTGTTTATTTGAGACCTTGATAAGGACTTGGCTATTCTCGCCAGGTAGATGATGTTTGTTTATTTGAGACCTAGATAAGGACTTGGCTATTCTCGCCAGGTAGATGATGTTTGTTTATTTGAGACCTAGATAAGGACTTGGCTATTCTCGCCAGGTAGATGATGTTTGTTTATTTGAGACCTAGATAAGGACTTGGCTATTCTCGCCAGGTAGATGATGTTTGTTTATTTGAGACCTAGATAAGGACTTGGCTATTCTCGCCAGGTAGATGATGTTTGTTTATTTGAGACCTAGATAAGGACTTGGCTATTCTCGCCAGGTAGATGATGTTTGTTTATTTGAGACCTAGATAAGGACTTGGCTATTCTCGCCAGGTAGATGATGTTTGTTTATTTGAGACCTAGATAAGGACTTGGCTATTCTCGCCAGGTAGATGATGTTTGTTTATTTGAGACCTAGATAAGGACTTGGCTATTCTCGCCAGGTAGATGATGTTTGTTTATTTGAGACCTAGATAAGGACTTGGCTATTCTCGCCAGGTAGATGATGTTTGTTTATTTGAGACCTAGATAAGGACTTGGCTATTCTCGCCAGGTAGATGATGTTTGTTTATTTGAGACCTAGATAAGGACTTGGCTATTCTCGCCAGGTAGATGATGTTTGTTTATTTGAGACCTAGATAAGGACTTGGCTATTCTCGCCAGGTAGATGATGTTTGTTTATTTGAGACCTAGATAAGGACTTGGCTATTCTCGCCAGGTAGATGATGTTTGTTTATTTGAGACCTAGATAAGGACTTGGCTATTCTCGCCAGGTAGATGATGTTTGTTTATTTGAGACCTAGATAAGGACTTGGCTATTCTCGCCAGGTAGATGATGTTTGTTTATGTGAGACCTAGATAAGGACTTGGCTATTCTCGCCAGGTAGATGATGTTTGTTTATTTGAGACCTAGATAAGGACTTGGCTATTCTCGCCTGGTAGATAAACTGTCATTGGCTTCTGCATCAAATTAGTGCAAAGAAATGTGTAGAAGATGATTTTTTTTGTTATTGCTGCAATAAGGTTTTGTTAAATTATTTTTCTAAAAAGTTTTCTGTTTGAATTTGTTTTAGCTCAAAATGGGTAAGTGGTACGTACATAACAATCGCATATTTTTCGAATTTAAGTAAAGGAAATAAAAGGAAAAAAGAAAACATTTTTCCTTTTGATACTTTTGCAACTAAGTGTAGAACTGTTTATTACAAAGATACTAATCAAGCCTTGCCTCAGTACATCATACCGAATTAAAAAGTGATATCTACACGGTATTGTTTTTTTCTCCAACACTTTTTTCGATATGTATTTGACAAAACTAAAACTTCTCTTAAGTCCTGCTTTTTCATACTTTTCCCACGGACTCCATTACGATGACCAAACATTGATGATTTTGATTTACACATTTATACTAAAAACTGTAACTCCTATAGTTCAATTTGGTAAATTGCTCGTTTTAGATTGATCTTTAAATTCTATCATTTTCATATTCCTTATTTTTTCTTTCAGTTCATATTCACGTTTTTTAAGTGTCGTAATCTTGTCTTCAAGTTCAAAATCATTGCAAACTTGCAGTAACCTTTCAATTTCTCTGACAGCATATGTACCACGGAGCGTAGCCATATACATATCACGTAACGCTACGTGACAATCTATGGCCACGACATAAGAGTCGATCAAAATGTCAGAGGAGGGATCTTCGGAAATCAGCGAAGGACCAACTTTAAATACATGTTCCAGCCTTTTGAGAACGATATCATATCGTTTTCTTTTAAACTGAAGCTCTCCTATTTCCAAATGAATCATGCATTCAAACAAAAACACAGGAGCATGACTTTTAGCAATTGTTAGAGACATCTTATATATCTGAATTGCTTCTTCATCCTGTCCAGTATTTCGTAGTATTCTGCCCTCCACAGCATGACAGTAACACCGAATTTCTAAATATAGGTTTGGGGTTTTGTTTAGGATGCTGAATGCTTCCTCGATCTTGTCCCAAGCCTCGACGTGGTTACCACACTCAGTTAGTGACCAAGCTACATTCTTCATTGATATTGCGATAGATTTCCCCGTTCCTTTGGTGTCCTTTTTTTCGACAAGCGCTCGCTGGAAGCAGTGTAAAGCCTCTTCCTCTTGCCCCAACTTTCTGTAGGCAATTCCTAAATTGTTGATGCAGGAAGCAACATATGGATGTTGGTCAGTTTTGTAGCACTCGATTCTTCTCTTTAAAGCTTCCTGATGTAATTTGATACCTTCCTTAACGTTACCTGTTGTTAAACAGAAGAAATACCAAATTAAGTTCAACAGATAGGCAAGTTTCCACTGATGAAGTAATATCAGTCAGCTGTTATATCTGTTAGATCTTATGTATGGGAGGCTAATGAACATTTACATTTTAAGTTTTTTCGAAAATAGAAATAGTTCCCATGTTAGTTATTGTACAGTTTTTACATACTTGATCAATCCTTTATGGGGTACCATTATCTTCTATCTTTGAAAGTAATACTTTTGTAACAACAATTGAAAAAAGGGTGTAATATCAATTGAAAAAAGGAAAGGGCGAGTTAGAACGCTCAGCAACAACATACAGATAAATGAATGATTAAAAAGACTAAATATATTTGAACAATATTTTTCATTTCATTTATAGATAAAAACAACTTCCCAAGGACCTCTTTTTACTGGATTAAATTCAAACCTGGTAAGTATGCTATCACCTGATTTTTTAGGGAATCTATCAGCAGTGTTATCATTAAAATATGTACGAAGTTCCATACCAAAACGCCATATTTTGTTAATCGTTAGAAGTTTAGAATGTCTACGGTTACAAATCGTAGATTGACCGACAGTATTGATGATAGAGGACACAGTGCGGTATTTACCGGAAGTGACATGGAAACAGGACAAACTTTGTATTGTTGACATGGCAAGTTCTTCATAATACATGTTTAGATCTTGTTCTAGCTTCAAGGCTTTATAGAGATATCTGAAACAGAAAAGAGACCATTTGAACCACGAGCTTGTTATCTTCAGAAAACATTTATGGTAGTTCAATAGTTCTTAACGCAAGTTTCTGTTCAGAAATATAATTTGTTGATGGAGAAACTGTGCATAGCCTTTATCTAAATACGATTCATTTCAAAACTTGTTCCATAATTATGTACATGATGATAATCTGATAAATGTAGCCACATTGTTACTTTTAGTCTGACAGCTCCTTTAAACTCGCACTCTTTTAGTTCGCGACAAATCATTGCTAACTTAGCTGACCTTAACGCCTCTTGACACCGGCCTTGACAACCGATGTTCCATCCGATTCTCTGATAGGCCAAGGCCATTATTGGTCGAAGGTCCCGTGTGGAATCGTTGGTCGAGTTGTGTTCAAGAAATGTCAAAGCTTTCATATAGTTCGTCTCACCAGTCATTAAATCTCCCTGTATAGACAATCAGACGTGATATTGTATTGTTAAAGTCACAGGAGTTATCTCCCTGTATAGACAATCGGACGTGATTATGAGAAGTTCATTTTACACAACCAATAAAAAAAAAATATGTGACGTTTCGATGACTAGTACGATATGTCCACTGTCACCTTCATCAGACAAATGACCAATGAAGCGTATGCCTATTTTCCATACATACTTACCAACCGGAAGAAAATGTTTAGAAAAATTAGACGTGATATTGTATTGTTAAAGTCACAGGAGTTATCTTTGTGACGCGTGAACAGTTTCCTGTTTACAGTTCATTGCATAGCAAATACGTTTGGTCTAAAAACAAAAGAAATCAACTGATCCATTATATATATTTTTAATATATTTATTGATTTAGCTGGAATGATTATCACTAAGAAAAATGCACCCTACATTGGTGACATACACATCGGATAGCAAGCTTACCTGGACGTTGGTGAGTGCACTGCCGTACTGTATCTGGATACAAACTTCATCCACATAGTTCTTGTTGTTACGACACATTCGCATCAGCTCGGTGTAGAATTTGAAATCATATTCTGAAAATATAACGACCATCAAATAATTCTCAGAAATATGCGCAGCAGCATTCCATGATATGAACAGGAAAATATAACTGAAACATGGCGGAATTTAAAAATTGACACCGGACCACACATAAATCACAATCGTTCCTTTCGAGAAATGTTTTGTTTAAAAAGGCCGTTATGAATAAAATGGATATTGAATTATCTAATGGAGGCATATGCCTTGATACCAATTTACGCTCATTATTTCCCGCTGATGCCTTCATAACTAATTTGTAAATTCGACTGACTGAGATGCTAAATTATATATTCGATAGGTATTACGACCAGTATATCTCAGGAGTAGCATTAAAACTCACATTGCAAACATATGGATGCTATGTGGGATACCAAATTTACGTTAATTTTACGAAAACGTAACTGAAAACCAATATTTATTGCGAAAGTAACAAAGACAGAAAATCTTTATAACATATCATTATGATAAAATAATTACCCACTCGATGGTAGATATCACGAACTAGGACCATCCGTGACATATATATAACATTACCTATCATGAAGCTCTGTATGACGTGTGTCGCCCTGAGGGCCAGTTCCATGTAGAGCCCGTATGTATCCTCAGTGGTATACATGACGTCAGTGAGAAGTTTCTGGAAGTTCTGACGTTCTAAGTTGTACAGACACAGTCCCTCCAGGTACTCGGAAGAATCTACCTTCTCACTGATAGCGATAATAAGCCGTGCGAAAATCTTACAAAACCGTTTCCTTGTTTCTTCAAATGAAAAAACATCAATTAACAATAATTGAAAGTCAGTATTGTAAAGGTGTATCTGTTGTTTATTAATAGTTTAAGTTCCCTGTCAGTTTTTTAAACTGTATGATTTAAAAGTATTGTTAGAAATATAAAGTAGGGGAGCACAGATGCCTTTTAGAAATTTCGGTTTCGATAAAAGTCGATGCATGAAGCCAAACAAAGTAAGCAATTACTGACCAAGTCCAAGTATAAGTACTGTTTTATTTCTACCTTAAGGTTTCCTTTAAACGTTTTTGCTCTCTGCAAAAAACAAAAAGCATGGCTTACCTGGGAGATTCTTCACGTCCAGATACAAAGCCACGCAGTCTCGCAGTATCCCGTGGACGTCATACCGATCCGTACCCCGGATGTGGTGGATGATGTTCCGCCGCATTATCGGTTGTATTGTGGTTATGTGGGTTTCTTTGTTAGACGTGTTTCCTGTAAAAGCCAATATATGTTAAAAATATAAATCCCTGTCAACTGTTACCATCTTTACCACATGAAGTTTTTTCTTTGACCTTCAAAAAAAAAAAAAAACAGGGTAGAATTGCCAGCGTCCTATGGTTGTGTTGATGAATTTCTATTTTAGTTACAGTGGTTTTGACGTTTAATCGATGATGTCCTTAGTCAATCTTATCCGAAGTATAAAAAAAAATCGTCAAGAAATACGGCCGCTAAAGTGACGACAAAGGACATGTAACGCTCGTCTGCTGATGTCTTTGAAGATAAGAGCTGTATTACATCTTACATAGACTGTTATTATTTTACGGGTTTTGTTGCTTCGCCGAGGTATGGGTATATTAATAAAATCACCATAGCCAAATAGAGATTAAGTCCATGTCAGACATTTTAAGTACCAAACGACGAAAATGCACGACCTTGAACATCCTAAACACACCATTTCTACTCAGGAATGTAAGAGTTGTTTCCCTTATTACGACTTCACAAAAACATGTACTTTGTTTTCTGCTTTTATAGGTTGATGCGCAGATTTTTTTTAATTTTTGCATCATGATTGCCTCTTGTATTAAATACCAAAATATTTAGTTATATAAGACTCCCTTATGATCCCATATTGCTGTTCAACATTAACGTTTTGTTGTACACAGATATTTCCAAAATAGACTCACCGATCATTGCGCTCGCCTGAGAGTCTGTAAACGATCCGGGTATATACACCAAGGTAGCGAGATCGTTTCTCAGAGACACTGAAAGTCGTCGTAAAAACTCCCCATAGACATTGCCTGTCAAAAAACGAATTATTTTTGAGAATAAATCCTGATAATTTTTTACGTTGATATCAGACACTTGCTTTTACATATTCAACGATAATTAATTTATTGTATTGAAGTTTTCACAAATAATTAAAGATTTTAGACAAGATTATGTAGATTTGGTATGATTTACATGTTATTCTTTGGCTCGAAAAGGCCGTGTTATTTAATGTAATATCTCGTTACTAATAAAAACTTTTCATACGTTATGTAGCTCCTTTTTATAAATACACTATTTTAATTTAAAGCACACCAATGATTCATAAGACAGTAGAATGTATATATGTTATTATACCTATTCTTTCTTTTCTTTGATACAAAGCTTGACTCAGAACTTCCATACGACATAAACGAAGGAGACGGACCATATCGCCAGCAGCAAACAATGATTCTTTGTCCTCAAGAATCGATGACGTCATCAACAGCGCAAGAGGAAGACCTTCACATAATTCTACGATGGTCGCCATATTGGATCCGAAGTTAACGGTTGGTGCATTAGCTGAAAGAAGTTGTGCCGAGCTTTCCTGATCCAAAGCTTTCAGATGAAATGAAAATAAGGAAATCATGCTGTTTTCATCAAACGACATTTCCGTTGTAGATGTTACGAACACCTTAATACTTCTCGAGGTAGATGTAAGAAGAACGCACATTTGAAGGAATTCCATCGCAATTCTTTCTGTCTCCACCACGTCTTCAGCATTATCTAGAACAATGACAGTGGGCTCTGACACACCCTCATTGATAATACTCTGAATACCGGTCCACCAGTCCTCGACAGCGACAGTAGGTGTTCTAGAAATACCGCGTTGTGCTGAGACGCTATCTGGTAGTAGTCTCTGAAGTAAGGTCATATACACTGGTCTCATGCTCTTCATGTTTCCCATGTCGATCCAAATACTTCTCCATGAAAGCTGATTTATAAAAGTTTCCACAAGTCGAGATTTTCCAACAGAACGCAATCCATATATAGCAAATATGTCTTTTGAGTCAAACTCACTTTTTAGTTCCATCAATTCATCTTTTCTACCAACAAATCCCATGACTTCAGACACAGGGTGACTTCTAATATTTGTATAGTTCTGTTCTGCCGGCACATTTACACTGCTATATTCTAAAGGTAGCCTTCTGGTGTGTACTGAGCGTCACACAGTCACCATAGGACAGTGCAAAGCATGCTGCCAATAACATTTAAATTGTATACGTACATTAATGACGTAAGACTCTTGCTCAATTGTCCTCGTAATAGCTTTTTGTGAAATTCTATGCTGTAGTTGACTTATTTTTTTCACATGTCAAGGGTACGATAAATTTATGAACACATGATTCGACCAATCCGTATGAAGTATTGTCAATGTAAACCAAGACTATTGAAGCGTTAAAAATCTAAACCCTATCTGTTTGAGTTCAGTTTGTCTTAGCTTTGTTAGTTTGATAACATATTTGCATTAACGTTGCATTAAACAATACGAAACATATAACAACGAGTGACGAGAACCAGACCCAGAGTTCTGAGTAAAGCTAACAATACATTGAACACTTCCTTATACACTTATATTGGTTAAAAATCACACTCTTCATCTTGTTGCGGAAGTATTTAGGAAAAAGTTAAATCTTTTAAACGAATTCGCGTGTTATTTTACAATTTTATGGGCAAAACATAAATAATAGATTTTATTCAAGCAACAATGAGGAGGTAGCTAGATTTAAATGTTTTGGCCTATGTTTGTCTCACTTAGTCTCGCATTCATTATTTGGAGCGATTCGCAATGTCTTTTCCGCAAACTCTTTGTATATTTCTCTACCAAATACCGAAGTTTTCGAACAATTATCATAATTATTTGCCATTTTTATCGGCATATAGAGATTCTTATGGGAAATATAAATTTTGTTAACACATGTTTGTTTATTTTGCTAACACATGTTTGTTTATTTGGTAACACATGTTTGTTTATTTGCTAACACATGTTTGTTTATTTGGTAACACATGTTTGTTTATTTGGTAACACATGTTTGTTTATTTGCTAACACATGTTTGTTTATTTGGTAACACATGTTTGTTTATTATTTCACCTTTCTCCTATTGTTGTAGCTTCATTAATAAACATAAAGTCTTTTATATTAATCTATTTCTATTATAATGGGTTTTTTAATTTTTGCTCACAATTTTGATAAATATTCAACTTTCAATGTATTTCAGTGATATGTTTATTACAAAATCATAATGATTCATTTCCATTGTTACTTCATTAAGACAGAGATTTTCAGCGATCTGTGTTCCTACGAAGAAAAGTTCCTATTTTTTCAGCGATTTCCTGACTTGCAGATGATTGTCCTTTAACTACAGCAAAGAGTTATACACTAAAGGAATACTTATATGATAACTTCCCTTACACCAAAACATCTCCACCACAAGGATACCTCCACCTCTTAGTTATCAAGCTGGATTTTATCAGCTGCACCTCTGGTCATGAAATATCTTTCATGATACTTTCTACATCCTAATTGCGAATAATTTAAAATGTTTTCGCTCCCTGAAAAGGCTTGCAGTCTATGGTTGTCTTTGTACGGATATAGAGAAAACAACAACAGCACTAACAGGACTAACTTGTCAATGCCTGTATACAATAGAAAGGAAGGTGGGACATTCTACTTTAACACTTTACATTATAAACGTTTTGTTTGAAAACTTTCAAGACAATTGAACACCATACCAATACCCCTTATTGTAAACATTTATAGGAACATTCCATAATACTACTCGGCACTGTTGAGACATGTTGATGTTATTCTGGTACAAATAACTCCAATCAATTCCAGTATGTAGTCAAATTCACATTCAAATTCTTAAGGAGACTCCACACTTTTGAAATTAACTTTCAAAACTCGTTGAAACTTTTTTATAATGGTTATGCAACTATGTAGAATTGATTTTATGGAAATCTAAGCATTCCGATAGTTAGTAGCTTGCATTCCAAATAAAACCAAAACAAGCTCAATTATTTACCCTGATAGTGATAGGTATGTGGTTATTTATCTTGCTTGAAAACAAATGAAATCCTACAAAATCATTTTTCAATATTTTGATTTTCAAGATCATTATTTTTTTCAAATTTCCAACGCTTCTGCATTGCTCACTCTAAATGCTTGTTAAATAATGATTATACGGACCTCTTTCGGATGTATGGCAATGCGACATTTCACGAGATTCCCTACTAACATGTTTTATCGCTATTAACAGCTTGCAACCTTTCTTAATACAATTTAAATAATTAAATTGATAGAATGAGGATTTTTTAAAAACTCAAAAGGTATGTTGAACCATCTGGATTTTTTTCTCTCAAATTTCTGATGTCAGATCATTTGACTTTTCTATTCCATACACTACCATACCTAATAGCAAACTGAAGAAATGCATTCATTTACTTTTTTCTACTCCGAAAAAGGCAAAAGACGATAAAGAAGATATCATGTCGAAAACTGATCTAAGTGTATAAAGACCTTGGATCCTATTGTCTAGCATTATCGTTTTCTACTTAGTGGTAGGCATAAAGCGGAAGCTGTACCACTCAAGAACAATTTTCAATATTTGAATATAATTATATAATTGATTTACTACAATGCTCACGTCAAATACAGTATACAAATATGTCCATTTTGACATTTGTTTCTAAATTACTTAATTAATGTACAAGTGTTTACAATAACAACTGGCATTAAAACACAGCTGTGATGTCATCCATTGTTATTTGCGTACTATGATCAACAGAATTCATAGGCATCATCTGTAGCAGTCCAATAAGTTACCTGTAGCTGTCCAATAAGTACACAAAAGAATCCATTTATTGGACAGCTACAGGTAACTCATTGGACGGCTACATGTAACATATTGGACAGATCATGGTAAGCTTTTGAATGAGCACATACTTATGCTATACAATGGAAAACATAGTAACAAAATAAATGTGAAAAGTATATCCGGTATTTATATTCCCATAGTCAGATTTCCCATGCGCTATATTTTTTCCTTGAAAGAAGGTTTGAATCACGGAACACTTTTTTTCCATGAAACATCCATATAGATGCATACCTATCCAAACACTTTACTAAGAAACACATTTCCAGCATTAATTGTAATTTCATTTGAATTTGTAATTTTGGAAATAACACTTTGGAGTTGAGGGCAGTTGAAATCTTGCGTTTTTTCCACAATTTATGTGCACAAAATTTCATTCTTTCTTGAGATATCCGTGTATAATCCCAGATATATAGCTGTGATATATCTTTGATGAAAATATTTTGGAGGTGGTGTTAAAATCTTGAATTTTCTCACTTTAATTGTGTGGTTTATTTCTTTCATTTCATTCTCTCACATATATAATCCCAGAAATATACTGTAATCACTTTCTTCAATAAATCAATCACATTATTTGAATTTAATCCATTTCAATACTGAATGCTGATGCTCAAAATGTACTGCACAGGGACTGTGTTGGGAACGCACCTTCAATGTTGGATGACATTATTCAAATGAAACTAAATTCTACTCGGGCATATTTCACATACCTGTAATGCATGCACTTGTACAAAAGCATGCAAAGTATGCTAAAGGACACCACTATCCTTTATTGTATCAATAGCCTTCGTGGTTGATTGCACATACTGAACAGATATTGAAATTGTCCAATATTAACACAAAGAGGGTGTGTGTTTTAGTAAGATATAAGCCTCAGACTGTCCAATATTTTACAGAATAGACAGTTTTCGGCTTATATTCTTTACATACATAAATATCTCTACAAATACAACTCACACTAAAATGTCATTCTCAGACCTAAATTTATCTAACTCGAGTAGGCTTTTCCGATTATTTTTTTTTTTCTCATAATGCCAAAGGTATATGTATGGGTTAAGCTGCCCAGTATTCATCTTCCCGTACAATATTTTTTCCTCACGTGGGTGGTCTTGCATACTCCATACTTCTCATTAACAGTATTTCATCTTACATCTGTCTTTCCAACATTTCTTCCTAAATTTGTTTCCCCTTATATTTCTGATGTTTCATCGTACCTTATTTTTCACTACGAAGTTTCACCCTACTTCTTTCTTTCCAAATTACGCCCATTTCTTATCTGGAAAATCAAAGGTTCCCTGTCTGTTTCCGATGGGAAAACAATCGCCATGAGTCATGACGTCACAATAGAAGATAGATGAAGTCGCAAAGCATTGCTACATGACGTAACAATTAAACGATTAACCAATGAAATCATGTCTAGCGAGGTTTATCCAATGAATCGTGTGAAAGGAAATCTGTAGTGATTGTGGTAGAAATAATTTTCTTTATTTGACACAAACATGCATCAAATAAGGTCTTCAGATGCTTTTCCTAGGTAAGAGTAGATGTTTCATTATAAATGAACAATCTGTCACTGGCGTCAGTTTAGTTACTTTCTACGTCACTTTCAAATCGCTTCTGAAGTGACCGAAGTTCGTTCGTAATTATTGAAACTTTTTCGTCTTTTCCGTAACTCCTGAAGATTTGTATGAGGCGAGTTGCCTCCCTTGTTGCTTCATCGTACCATTTCCGTCTGTTTATGTCGTCTCCTAGTTTGGTATGACAATGTATGGCGGTCTTGCAAGACTGGAACAGACGGTCACATGTCGGAGCCTCCCTTAGAAGTACATGTTTTGAATTGAACACATTGTTACAAAAAGCTATAGCTTTTGGGTAGTTCTCCAGTGCGAAATAGGAATTCGCTATTTCAAAATACAGTTTGCTTGTAAAGATTTCATCAGGGGCCTCACGAACAATGATGTTCACTGCTTTTTTAAGTCTTGATATGGCTTCAGCGTGTCGGGCTTGTTTTTGTAAAACCTCACTTTCAATGGAATACGCATATGCCCTATTGTCCCTGTAAAGATTTGGAGTCTTATCTAGCAAATCATATGCTTCTTTTAAATAATTGAGTGCCTGGTCGTGGTCGCCTTTGTCAGTAAAAGCCAGTGCTACGTTCTCCAAGGATATTGCAATAGACTTAGCTGTAGCCTTTGTTTTACGCTTCAGACGTAATCCGTTCATAAAGCACTCCAGACACGTGTCCTTCTGACCTAGTCTACGATAGATGAGCCCTAGGTTGTTGACAAGTGTCGCCACATTTGGATGTTCCTCCGTCCCATAAAAGGCAGTTCTTCTTCTAAATGCTTCCTTGTTAAATTTCAATCCAAGTTCCAGATTACCTGTAAAGATGTTTTAAAAATAGCCTATGCATAATAAGATGAGAATAAAAATGGATGTATTTTTTTCATGTTACAGCGTTAAATGTTTCGATACCGAACATTAATAAAGACAGGATTTAATTCCTTCAACATTTAATCGAAATAACAAATATACATCATTATCTAAAGTGACAGTACCCAAACCGTATCACCAAACCATCGTTTTTATTCATTCATTAAAAATTAAAATGATTTATTATATTCATTTACGGTTGCATCATAAGAAAAATATCGACGGGTATTGGATACTTTTATAGAACACTTTGACTCACCAATTAGCATTTTTTCGGTGTTTGCAAATGACAGTATCAAAATCGGATCATGACTTGAATTCTGCAATATCTTACGCTTTAAATGAACTTTTTTTCAGCATTTCAACATTTTATGATGAACTTTGGCATTTATGTGAATTCAAGTATTTCTATAGGCTGAATTTATTCCTACAGTCCCAACAGCATACAAAGCCCTCTTACAAAACTTCATTTTTGCGTTTGAAATAGTCTTCTGATGTAAGAACTAAAATGTAATCATCTGTAGCCAAAATTGATGCTTGTCTGTATATCATTGTACTATTTGAACTGCTGACACCTGCTGATTTAAAAGTATTTTTGAAAAAAGTGATCAATTCGATTTGGGTACTGTTCCGATTTTGTTATATTTATATTGCTACTTTACTCACCCAGAAAGGTGTTAAATACAGATAAAGATTGAATAGTTGATATGGCAAGTTCCTCGTAATACATATGTAATTCCTGCTCCAGGTGGAAAGCTTTGTCCAGGTACCTTCACACAATATAAAGAAAGGGTTAGCCGACCCCATATATACAAACAAGTAATAAAAGTAAATCTTCGAGCAGGAAAATATCAAATTTAATGCAATAAAACGTTGTCATATTCGGGGAAAAATGACTCCAATACAATATTCTTTTTTTTATAGTTCACTGTTATGTCTTTCTATTTTGACACTGTGAAATTTTGGTACTTTAATTATTTTTTTGAACTTTAAACCTTTAATTAGATAAAACTTACACCAGGGCTTCCTGCCATCGTCCCTGACTGCCTACGTTCCATCCGATCCTCTGATAGACCAACGCCAATGACCTACGTACGACTTTATCACCTGTTTGTCCTGATGGGCTGCTCTGGGAGACTTCATTCAAAACGTCTAAAGCGATGAAATAGTTTTTTTCGGCTAGCGATGTTGTTCCCTAAAAACAAAATCTCTGATCAACTTTTAAATTGTTTTGTTTTTCAGGGTGGTCGGGTTGTGCAGTGGATAGCGCACTTGCCTTTCACCAAGGCGGTCTGCCCGACCACGTGGGGTTTCTCCGGGTACTCCGGTTTCCTCCCATACTAAGACCCCCACGCGCTAACATCCGGGTCAACAAGAGTGAATAATATAAGTTGAAATAACTTGTTTCATAATTGTTGTGAAATAAATGAAGTTTATACTTTTTGTTTTGCTAGTTTGATTCAAGTAATAAAGATTGTATAAACATATCGACTGTAAGTTGAAACAATTCTGAACCTCATCAATCAATGTTGACATGTTGATCAGCCACCTATAACCGTGGACTGTTCATTTGTTCAAGTTCTGCACGATTTACATCATTAAAGTGACAATGCAGTTTGATATTCATTATATATAATTTAAAATAGAAGTATAATAAATGAAAAGTGTAACACCTATGGAATAGGAGCGGAAAATATCGTTCATATACACCGGCACGCGACTGAAAATGGCGACCAATCCGCATTTGTTGGGCAACGTTATATGTGTGTGTATATTCTGTAGATCTAACATGAAAGACAAAAAAGACCTTGACATTTGTGAGCATGCTCCCGAACTGGATCCGGACACAAGCTTCGTCCACAAGGTTTTTGTTATTCCGACATAACGCCATCAGGTCCTGGTAAAACTGCACACCCGTATCTATAAAGGAGGAAGACGAGTATTACTATATTTTTATCGTCATAGGCAAGAGGTCGAAATAGGATCTCCATTACAAGGCAATGTTATAAGTGTTATACAAGCACTCGGTCCACGGAAACAACCTCTTAAAATGGAGATGAGGAAGGAAGCTAAAACACCCACCTACATGTAAAGTTTCACGATTGATTAGTGGACATATACACATATCATCCAATGATGCCCGACATCACATTATACTTGTGTATATTTATAGATTTAAATCATGTTTCCATTATATATGAATTCTATAAAACGAGCTTTCATGAATCACTTACTCAAGCAAAGAATATACACTTACTTATTTCTAAATATATCGACTGGAAATGTAAAGAAAAACACGACCAGTTCTTCAATTGCGTAAGTGTACAGCGCAATCTTAGTCACAGTCGGTGAGATTGTACAGGATCTTACAGGTGTTTCCAGTTTAGACGAGATTTGAGGAAAGGTTCGTAAATCATTTTCATTTTTGGGAGCACTAGACTTTTAGGTTTACCAACTTGATAAGGATATATGGAACAGTTTGACAGTAGATATCCGGAAATGCTTTGAAACACTGAATTTGAAGTTTTGACTGTGTTTATATGGTCAGAGGAAAGACCTCGGGCACTAGTCCGGTACGCGTACACTCTCTCTTTTAGACACATGTTAGATGTAATTAAACTTGTTGCCCGGGAAAGCTCCGACACTCTGAATTTTGTAATTATTTTTGACAATTTGTTTCCATTGTAACAGAAAAGATTTTGAAAATAGCAATTGAATAATATCAAACAATGCAACTAGGGCACTAGCCTGCTGTGTATGCAAGGTTTGAAGAGATAATGTATATGAAATGGTTTTTGAGCTGTTGCCCAGAATGCGGAGACGCCCGAGCGAATAGAAGGAGCCACATTTATTAGTCTTCGCAAATGTGTTTCGAGGGAGATAGTAATGACTTATAAGGTATGAATGATTAAAATATGAATTCAACGGATATGCCAAACGTGTATAAATTATAATATATTTTAAAAGAACGTTTGTGTAAAATTGAAATTACTATATGAATTTGGAAATTATGTTACAAATTCGTTAGTATACTTCTCATTGTGGAAGCAGACTTCAAACAGAGCCGAGGGATTAATCGCCAAAAGAAAGACAGCTTGATCCCCCCCCCCCCCCCCCCCCNCCTTGAGGGCCAGTTCCATGTAGAGCCCGTATGTATCCTCAGTGGTATACATGACGTCAGTAAGAAGTTTCTGGAAGTTCTGACGTTCTAAGTTGTACAGACACAGTCCCTCCAGGTACTCGGAAGAATCTACCTTCTCACTGATGGCGTTCATAAGCCGTGCGAACACCTTACAAAACCGCTTCCTTGTTTCTGAAATTAGACACATTTCTGAATGATTTACGGTAGCGCTTGTCGAAACATGAGGATATATAGTATGTGGTTACGAAATACTATATATACCTTGGAATTTAACATTGCAAAATTGGAAAATAATTTTGTTATTTATTTTACCCAAGTTTTTCTGTCTCAACTTAAATTTTAAGATGGATTTTTAACACATACAAGTATAAAATATCTGGTAGTGGTTTGAAATGTAACATAAATGTTTATACTTAAATAGATATATTTCAAGCTTCATAAAAGTAAAAAAAAAACCACACACAATCCCTAATCGGATATCTCTAGCAAATTGTACGGCTAAAGACCTTTCGACCTTGTTACATAAGCAACAGCCTGCGCGAAGATGAAAATAAAGTGCGTGTTCCGTGATCAAAAATTTCCATATTGATATAATTTATACAAAAAAACTCATATTCCTAAAAGACAGTTTGAAAAAAACGGAACCCCAAATCTTATTCAGTGTTAGACACTTGTCTTAGAAATCTGCTGACGCTTGAATAAATAATCAACAGGAAACTACTAACAGGCTACAGGAAACAGTTTTGTAACCATACAACGTGGAAATACCATGAAGTATATACGACCAGCTATTAAAATATTTGTTTACTTGGAAACCTGTATGAAAGACACCTGTCTAAAATTACATCATAACAATACAAAGCTTACATAGTTTTGTTTTCCTTTTTCGCACGGCAGTCTTGCAGTCCGGTTTAGCGCTTGCTTGACAAAAATATTAGCACAGTAATTTAGACATAAGGTCGATATTGCTTACTATTTTTCGTCATCAGTAAACTTACCTGGGAGATGTCTGGTGTCCTCAAACATTTCTATGCAGTCTCGGAGCAACCCATGCACATCGTAACGACGTGTGGATTGGTCATAGTGTACCACGTGATGACGCATCACCGGGTCAAGGGTCAACCTCTTTGTTTCTCCGTCTGTTTTGTGTCCTAGTAAATACGTTTGGATTAAAATTGTTCATTTAACTATATTCAAAGCGCAAGCATATTGTTATAGGGTTTGCATATTCTTCACAATTAACATACTGTTCATTACTCTGTCAGATGCCTGTATACCTTTAGTGTTAATTACTTGCATTTTGATCATGGTTTGTGTATGTTAATTGTTTACAGTTTATTTTTCAAGTATTTGTATAGTGTCCATACTGTTTATCAGTTTTTGTACCTCATTGATAGTTACAAATAATTACATAAAGTCATAATTACGACACATTTGTGCTTACTGTGAAAACAAATTAAATGCAAAAAAAAGTAAGACAAGTTACCTGTTTTATATGTTACTTTCAGTGTTGACATAGTATATTACATATAGGTACAAAAAGTACAAGAATGTGTTTACTTACAGCGTTTCGTATATCATTATAGCTAATAATTGGTTGAAAGATTATTGTTAATTAACCTTTGGAGATATTACATTACTCATACATGTATATCTAAACTAACGATATATTTGCAATAAATAAGTATGGATGGTCCTGTGAGCGCATTTTTACTCCAGCAGCCTCAAATCCCACATATCTTGCGACATCACCATCAACTGATAGATATTGTGACGTCACAAAATTTTGGGCAATTATCAGAAACTTTGTATACACATAATATTTATTTCTAAGAAATAATTAAATGTGTAATGAGCGCATACGTGTGGTACGGATCGAGAAAAGTAACCAAATGCATATAGATGATCTCTAATTCCTCCAATGCGATGCTACAGCATAACAACCTGGTAACGAGATCAATCGGATGGCGATCATAAACAGAGTATAGATTGTATAAGCATTGTATCAAGTATGTACAGGCATTGTTATTATTGATTTTTATATTTATCTGATATTTACCGATCATCTCCGTTACTTGTTCTATCGTGAATGATCCAGGGATATAGCAGATAATGGATAGCCTTCCTGTGAGGATCCCGCTCAGTCTCTTTAGGAATTCTCCGTACACAATTGCTAGGAACAATCAATGTGTGTAGTTAGCATTCAGAACACATACTATAACATAAACATGAATACATTTTTCAAAAAAATCCATAATCAGGATATGTTTATTATTTCATCAACTACAATATAAACCGTTTCTTTTTTTGTTCAGTATATTTTATACAGCAAATCGATTGACCATGCCACTTTTTTACCTTACCAAACATTTTGCCAAAAATGAAAATAAAATACATTCCACTGTAACACATTGTAGTATATGTACCTGTTTCCATGGACTGATATTCTCGGCTGTCGCACTTACGATTGAATTAAGTGAAAATATGTACAACTTATAAATCTCATGTAAACGTGTACGGCCACACGCGAAAAGTCGTATCAACGGAATGATTTATAAACGTAAACCGCAAAATTAGGTAACACCAAATGTTGCATGTCATACAGTAAGTCAATAATAAAAAAAATCTTCGAACTAGTTAGAAACTTCAAGATTTATGATATTTTATTTTTAACAAACAGAATAAAAACTTTGTATCAAATAAAAAGGCTTTTTATCATACTTTCTGTTTATCAGTTTGAAACGTTACGGTTCTCCGTGCTATCTTTGTGTCAAGGTATGACAGGATTTATAAGATGGTTTTGTGTGAAACAGAAATAAGAGCATTTGAATTTACCGCGCTGGGTTTTCCCGCGGTTATTACCTAACATACGGGTTCTATGTAAACTGAGTGTACTGTTTTTGTACCTTAATACCGGCAACCTATTGTAATCACGGTTGTATTTTTTCCGGTTTGCCAAGGCAGTTGTTGTGATGGAACTTTTTTTGTTGATTTATTAAAGTGTTGTTAATTTTAATTTGAATTGTTGAGTTATCCTGTTTCAGAGTATTACCAGTAAAACATGTCATGTTTTATCTATTTGTCTATTAAAACGATATGGTGTGTCATACTACATTTTAACGTTCTGTGTAATACATTATCCGTGTATTACAAAGCCATGGTTTATCGTTCTAGATTTGTTTTACTAAGAAAAATCATTTGGGTTTTTTTGTTTTGTTTAGCTGTGTATTACTAATAAATGTCCTGATTAATCATGTTTATTAGTTAAAATCGTCATGGTTTATCATATAATCTGTGCATAAGATAGAAACGCAACTGTTTACCATACTATTTGTGTATTCCACCAATTATAAAGTTTTAATATCATAAGCGAATTAGTTAGAAACATCCTGGTTTATTGTTACTTAAAACCGTTATATAATGTGATCACTGTATGGATTTTAAACTGACACGAAATTGTGGCGTTATTGTGCAGACATCTGCAATACGTATAACATTTAAAAATCTAATAGTATCTTTAATAGGTTGATCTCATGCTGCAGATTTTACTTTAAATGACAAAAAATATGCATATTTTTGAAAAAGCAAGAAGCAAGAGCAACTCATTGGATAAAGAGCAAAGATACCTATTCTCTCCTGCCGCTGATAGACGTCCTGACTGAGGACTTTAAGACGATATAGCTGAAGTAAGTCGACCATATCACTTGGTGTAAAAAGAGTATCTCTGTCTTCTAAAATAGACGCCGTCATCAGTACAGCCAGAGGAAAGCCTCCACACAGATCGACAATGCTCGCCAAGCTGGCTCCAAAGTTTACAGAGGGAGCACATGTTTGTAACAGTTCAGCAGAACTCTCCGTCGATAGAGGAGATAAAGTCAAAGAGAACGTACTGTCCTTAAACCCAATTTCAGTTGTAGATGTAACGATCACTTTCACTTTTTCTGAACTGGAGATACAAACTTGGCACAAATTTTGAAATTCAGTACACCGCCCATCTTCAATGGTATCTTCGGCGTTATCAAATATGATGACATGATCGCTACACACATTTGTCTTTATCAACTCTACGATTCCGTTCATCCAGTCGATTTCCATGTGAATATCCGAAGACGACAGAGACCCGATCAGAGATATGTACACCTGGCGAAGGTGTTTTATTGATCTCATATCAATCCAGGTAAACGTAAGTTCTGGTGTGTCCGATTTCAGAACTGACAGATATTTTCTAATCAATGTTGATTTCCCTATAGATCGTAGTCCATAAACTAAAAATGTGTTGTTTGTATGCCAATTAGATACAATATCCGCTATTTCCCTTTCTCTCCCCACGAATACACTTAGAGTGGACATTGTTTGTACCTTGGTGTGGTATCATGTAATACCTTTAGTGGTATGGCGGTGTTATCCAGACACTGTTTACTCTCCTCGTAAATAACGCCGGGTGTACATCTGTTCAGTAGAAAACAGTTGTTACACAATGTAGTAGTGGTGTAGATTTGGGTTGTGATAAGCCACGTAACTGACACTTTAAAGCGGATATGTATAACCATACAAGTGAACACTAAAACGACTGAAGTATCAGATCCATGTTTAAGGCTATTAAAGATAGCTGTTTTAGGGCCCTTGTAAATAGATTATATATGTTCTGTTGTAAGAGGGATCAATTGTAAGGAAAATTGTCCTTGTTTTGTGGAAATATATAGTTACGAAACAGGAAGCAGGTAAAACATGAGGTACCCCTGTCAAATCAAGGAATTATGTCAGTCACAAAGGATCAAAGGACACTGGATCAACAGCTACCACGACCACGTGTTACAACTATATATCAAGATAGAACGCACAGGCAAGTATACCCATATTTCCCTCTGAGGGCTATAGTTCCAAAAAGGCCCCGTATGTATCCTCAATGGTATATATGACGTCTGTGAGAAGCTTTAGAGGTTCAGATGTTCTATGACGTAGAAAGTCCCTTCATGTTCCCCCGAAAAATCTACGGGTTTCAAAACGATCTTCAATAATTTAAACAAAACTCATATTTTTTGCAGAAACCTTGACTAAAGATCAGAGACCATAACTTGACCCCCATTCCTTTTTCGTCACTCTCCAGAATGCTGCTGATTTTATTGTATCCTACCCTTATATCACCGTGCCTTGCTCTTCCTAGATCATTACTCCGGGACTATACATCGGGACTGTTATATTTGTTTAAAACAGAGTGAGAATGGTCGGTTTATCTAGAAAGAACAAGAGTATGTTTTCAGAAGATCGGAGTAGTGTTAATCGAAAAACGAAAACAGTAATAGAGTTCAGATTATTAAGTATAGCACATTTCGTTTTACATCATTATTCATTCTTTTAGAAGTAAAAGAACTGAGGATTATCATGTCAAGCCACCAAAATCAACACAATAATACATATGAAGGTTAGCGATCAGATCTTGGATATAAAATTCATAATCTGCCAATGTTAATATGATATTCTGAAAATATAATAACAGTAAACAAAATGCTGTTTTAGATAATTATTTATATTGAGACATATTATTTTTGTATTTAACGTTTATTGTTTATGTACATATCATGTACATCAAGCCTGTGAACTCTATGAGTATAAACATTTTTTACGACTCATAATAAATAATCAACAGTATTGGGTTGTCCAGGAAATCTACGCACGCAAACAACAACGTGAGTAAAATCCCATCCACGATTCTCCAGGGATTAGGATCATTGACGTTTCTCTTCATCCCTGAAAAAAAGTCATGACGAAACTGATAGTTCGTGGATAACTACTTGATTGGTTTCAAATGAAACACCTGACCAATTGCTAGGCTGATGTCTTTCCTCTGAAAGTTACAGATGACCGCTATGCTGCCGATCGATTATATCGATTTACAGCAAAGGATTAAACCGGTATACCTGTAACATCCACAAGGGGACGCGTGCAGAGCGTTTTATTTTGTCCTGTTCCAGGGTTGATGAGAACATTTAGAGCGTAACCCTTGTAATGTTGGGGATGGCGAACCCCCTGCCTCGAATTACATCACAGTTAACTATCTCAATTGTATCAATAAATATGAATGGTTCGTTTCATATCAGTCCTCAAAATGCTTTTAGATTCCAGTACTGAATAATGATATTGTGTGGTTTTTTTAAATACAAGGCACCTATATCTCACTCAGCTAACAGACATTCAGACTGAGGGTTGATAAGTTTTGTTTGCTTAGTTTGGAAAGTGGTTAAGATAGCCACGCACTTTGATTATTTTTCACACTCCTCGGATATTACCGAAAGAACATATGATAGTTTGGTGTGCTTTATGAACACGCATATAATGCATACATGTTTTACGATCCGGAAAAAAAATTGCTTTGAAATGGTATTTCTCATTGTCAGGGATGCATGTAATGTATAAAACTACAGAATGTATTTTACAAGATATGTAAATTAATTCAAAACCCAGGTATACCATCTTTTAACATTTATGTTCTCTCTGTCCTCAAAATAGTTTTCGATGAAGGAATTGATTTTTATCAGAAATATAAGTCATGTTTTTCTCGGCTTAACGTCCTTCCCTCTAAATTATTAAAGCAATACTGTTCATATGTTCTATAAACCTTTGTTCGGTGATATGGACAGAAAGGTTTTCTATTGATTTTTCACGCTTTCTTATTGATTGAAAGAGAGAACATTAATGTTTCACATATAAATCATGAGGAAGGACATTTCTTAACACTTATTCTACAAATCACCTTGACTTTCCTTACTTGTATGACAGTATGGAGTGGATGGAAAGATACTGTTAAAAGGAAATGCTACTCGCAAGCTAACTATAAAGAATTAGCGTATTACCATGAAACACACAAAAATATGTCTTTAAGATGAAATCTAATTTTTAAACATATATTTATAATGGAATCTGCCTAAATACATACATTTGTATGTCTGTAAAAGAACACATGTATATAACTATCGTCATGACAATACATGTAGCTACATAATGTTCTCTCAAAACTTTTCTTCTTTCCTATTTGGCGAACTTTTCTAACAACACCTAAAGAACCCCAAAAGGTCATGCTCAACACTATGTAAATTACTGAATTCGACACGAAAGAAAATAATATTTATATCCTTTTTCTTTTATATCTTTGACACGTTTCACATCCTGAGTGTTGTATTAACGGAAAGTAAATAAGTTTTGCTATGTAAGAACATTTTTTTTAAATGTCAGTTTTATCCCGCTGATACGCAAAACGAGCGCAGGTTAGCGGCACGATACCTTTAACCTTAGAATTCATTTGTTTTTGTTCATTTTTTTATTTTATTTATCTATTTTTTTGGTACTTTTTTTTCATTATAATTTTCATATTGCTCTAGTATCTTCAAATTACACCTCTATCATTACCTTTGTGACACATGTCAATATGACTTCCCGCTCGAATCAAGGTAACATGTGAGTCATCTACACTTTAAGACAGAGTTAACAAGTTATTGATAACTTCATATAGTCGGTAATAATATCACTTTGACAACCGTATGATAATTTCCTGGTTCGGAAACAAACACTGCTCAAAAAATATTTAATCATAACTGCTTTCCTACAAAGAAACGGAGACTTTTTAATTTATACAATAACACATTTGATAATGTTCACTTATTCAAAAGGAAAACAAAGATATTTAAATGTTCTGTCCTGGAAACCGATTATCTGGTCCAGCTGGTCACCACAAATGGTCTGGCCGCCATAGATACAATGCACCAACAGACGTAACAGCCACCAAAACTATCGGAACTCTCGTTACGATAGTTCCACACGGATTCCGACACGGTCTCGTACGAGAGTTAACATGTCATCAAACAACAACCGGTTATTGTAAGTCAGCTATTCCTGTGAATCTAGTGTCATTGGACTGTCGCTCGTTGAAGAACAAGTCACTGTCCATCGGAAATGTTGTAACATCTCAGGACATTGATATTCTGGCATTAACAGAAACTTGGTTGGATTCCCATATCGATGACCAGGTACTAGTTGAGCTAATAACAATAGGAGGATAAGAATTCCTTCACAATGCTAGACTCAACAGTCGTGGTGGTGTGGTCGCTTGTCTGTTTAAGAAAGGCCTAAGTGTTAGACATCTCTATTCCAGCCATGATGATTTAGGCACACATTTTGAGCACGTGACTTGTTCTGTCATTGCTGGTGATAAACAATTCAAATTGTGTATCATTTACAGGTCTGTTCAATCTAAACAGAACGGTTTCCGAAATACTGTGGGTTTTTTTTAGTGCTCTATCTTTTTAAACCACCAAGTTGTTGTACCACAAGGGATTATTATCACATGTGACCTATATTTCCACTTAGAAGATATATCTTATGTTAATACTAGTCAGTTCTCTGGGCTACTAGATTCCAGGGGTCTAATTCACCATGTGACAGAAACTAAACACACCCATGGTCACACAATGGATGTGGTTATTACAAGGGAAGCTAACTCGGTAATCCATAGCGAAAGATTCCATGGAATTTCCGACACAAAAGATACAGTATAATCATTTCAATTCCTATTTGTTTAGTTATTATACACGTCATATCAGTTGGTCGATTTTGTAGGTGTTGTAACATATTACGGTGGTCAAATTACTTTCTCCCAAAGCCACCATAGATTTCCTCGCTGCCAACTTATTGAATAAACCTGCTAGGAGTTGGTCAACATATCTGGTTACTCACTAGCGAGAAACGCATTGGATAAACCTGCTAGGAGTTGGTAAACATATCTGTTTACTCACTAGCGAGAAACGCATTGGATAAACCTGCTAGCAGTTGGTAAACATGTCTGGTTACTCACTAGCGAGAAACGCATTAAATAAACCTGCTAGGAGTTGGTAAACATATCTGTTTACTCACTAGCGAGAAACGCATTGGATAAACCTGCTAGGAGTTGGTAAACATGTCTGGTTACTCACTAGCGAGAGACGCATTGGATAAACCTGCTAGGAGTTGGTAAACATGTTTTGTAACCCACTAGCGGGTAACTCATTGGATAAACCTGCTAGGAGTTGGTAACCATGTTTGGTAACCCACTAGCGGAAAACTCATTGGATAAACCTGCTAGGAGTTGGTAACCATATTTGGTAACCAAATAGCGGGTAACTCTTTGGATAAACCTGCTAGGAGTTCGTAACCATGTTTGGTAACCCACTTGCGGAAAACTCATTGGATAAGCCTGCTAGGAGTTTGTCAACATGTTTGTTAACCCTTTAGCGGGAAACTCATTGGATAAACCTGCTAGGAGTTTGTCAACATGTTTGATAACCCACTAGCGGGAAACTCATTGGATAAACCTATAAGGAGTGGTAAATATGTTTGGTTAATTACTAACGGGTCACTCATTGGATAAACCTGCTAGGAGTTGGTAATCATGTTTGGTAACCCACTAGCGGGAAACTCATTGGATTGATAACCCACTAGCGGGAAACTCATTGGATAAACCTATAAGGAGGGGTAAATATGTTTGGTTAATTACTAACGGGTCACTCATTGGATAAACCTGCTAGGAGTTGGAAATCATGTTTGGTAACCCACTAGCGGGAAACGCATTGGATAAACCTATAAATTACTAACGGGTCACTCATTGGATAAACCTGCTAGGAGTTGGAAATCATGTTTGGTAACCCACTAGCGGGAAACGCATTGGATAAACCTATAAATTACTAACGGGTCACTCATTGGATAAACCTGCTAGGAGTTGGTAATCATATTTGGTAACCCACCAGCGGGTTACTCATTGGATAAACCTGCTACGAGTTGGTAACCATGTTTGGTAACCCACTAGCGGAAAACTCATTGGATACACCTGCTAGGAGTTTGTCAACATGTTTGCTAACCCACTAGCGGGAAACGCATTGGATAAACCTATAAATTACTAACGGGTCACTCATTGGATAAACCTGCTAGGAGTTGGTCACCATGTTTTGTAACCCACTAGCGGGAAACTCATTGGATAAACCTATAAGGAGGGGTAAATATGTTTGGTTAATTACTAACGGGTCACTCATTGGATAAACCTGCTAGGAGTTGGTAATCATGTTTGGTAACCCACTAGCGGGAAACTCATTGGATAAACCTTCTAGGAGTTGGTTATCATGTTTGGTAACCCACTAGCGAGAAACGTATTGGATAAACCTGCTAGGAGTTGGTAATCATATTTGGTAACCCACCAGCGGGTTACTCATTGGATAAACCTGCTACGAGTTGGTAACCATGTTTGGTAACCCACTAGCGGAAAACTCATTGGATACACCTGCTAGGAGTTTGTCAACATGTTTGCTAACCCACTAGCGGGAAACTCATTGGATAAACCTATAAGGAGTGGTAAACATGTTTGGTTAATTACTAACGGGTCACTCATTGGATAAACCTGCTAGGAGTTGGTTATCATGTTTGCTAACCCACTAGTGGGAAACTCTAAACCTGCTAGGAGTTGGTCACCATGTTTGGTAACCCACTAGAGGGAAACTCATTGGATAAACCTGCTAGGAGTTTGTCAACATTTTTGATAACCCACTAGCGGGAAACTCTAAACCTGCTAGGAGTTGGTCACCATGTTTGGTATCCCACTAGCGGGAAACTCATTGGATAAACCTATAAGGAGTGGTAAACATGTTTTGTTAATTACTAACGGGTCACTCATTGGATAAACCTGCTAGGAGTTGGTAACCATGTTTGGTAACCAACTAGCGGGTTACTCATTGGATAAACCTGCTAGGAGTTGGTAACTATGTTTGGTAACCCACTAGCGGAAAACTTATTGGATAAACCTGCTAGGAGTTTGTCAACATTTTTGATAACCCACTAGCGGGAAACTCTAAACCTGCTAGGAGTTGGTCACCATGTTTGGTAACCCACTAGCGGGAAACTCATTGGATAAAACTACTAGGAGTTTGTCAACATGTTTGCTAACCCACTAGCGGGAAACGCATTGGATAAACCTATAAGAAGTGGTAAACATGTTTGGTTAATTACTAACGGGTCACTCATTGGATAAACCTGCTAGGAGTTGGTAATCATGTTTGGTAACCCACTAGCGGGAAACTCATTGTATAAACCTGCTAGGAGTTGGTAATCATGTTTGGTAACCCTCTAGCGGGAAACTCATTGGATAAACCTGGTGGGAGTTGGTAATCATGTTTGGTAACCCACTAGCGGGAAACACATTGGACGTTATTTCATTGGTCAATCCTCAAATAACGACATCAAGTAACAATGCTTTGTCATGTAAAAACTCATGGCAATTGTTTCCCCGAACGGGAATAATGTATTCCAAGAGAAAAATTAGATTTTTTAGATTTAATATCTTGGCGTTGTGGAAGAAAATGTATCTAAACAAGTGATGGTTGATTATCATGTTTATCTAACTCTCCTTAGTTAGTTTGTAGATTGTTAAAAGACACTTTAAAATCGTGTCTTTACACAACATGAAAATTAACTTACTCGAATTAGATAAACATGATAACCAACCATCACTCGATGGGAAACATTCTAGAGATGCGAACTAAGGAAATACCTATTTAAATACTGAGTTCGTCGATAGAGAAAGCCAAATAAAGTTAATGTTTTCGACAAAAGAAATTTATTGCAAATATGTAATTTAGAGCTCAAGAGCGGAGAAAATGCGCAAAACATGAATTATTCATTGTGTCAAGGTCCTGCTTATTGTCTTCTTGATGAAAACGACACGACGTCATACGTTATAGAAAGTTGAGAAACAGCGAGACAGTATTTTAAAAACAGATTAATATTTCAATCAACAAGTCAAAATAAGCTATGTTTGGATTATATCCACGTCCGTATGATGGTAGTTTCACAAATTATTTAAAGGGAGAATATATAAACACATCATACGGGTACAAAAAAATGAAACCATATTATCAGTAAATGTATGTCCAAAAGAAATAATCTCGCGTGTGAGAGCTAACTTCTATGCTACACGCGACTTGCATGCAGGTTGGATATCATGTATATCTGACTCGATTTAGTTAATTTTTAAACTGAATGAAATTTCGAGGTTTTGGAGCGTGCGTCGGTTCATAAAAAAATCTGGTATGATATTCAGCCTCACCCATATTTGTTATACGGTCTTCAATTAACACAGTTCACCAATGGTGTTGTGTAACCTGTATCTACTGGACACACAGTGGCTGTGACTGATCGGTGCAGGGAACCAGACGGGTAAAGACTCCAGGAAGCGAACTGCTTTCAGAATCTACCCACGCTATCTTGGTAGCGTTGCCCAAGGCAGTGAACTCCACGCGTAAGCGCTGCAGCTCTTGCAATGCAATATTAAACGCGTAACCAACCTCGTCGTAATTGCCAATGTCAGCAAGCACGCCCATGACTCTAACGTAGCAGTCGTACACGAACGAATTAGTTGGAGCATCTGATTTTAATTCCTCTTGCAGACTGAACACTTTATTCAGCCAATAAAGAGCCTGTCTGCTATCATTGAGACCAATGTATGCCTTAGCGAGGTCGTTGTATGTCTCTCCTGACCAAAAGTTGTTAGGGCCGCTGTGCTTGCGAATGGATAAGGATTTCTTGAAGAGCTTAATGCTTTCTTTGTAGCATTTCTTGCGGAGCATGATCTGGCCTTCCGTTGCATATACTAAAGCTTTTGTGTCTTGATAAATATTTGGGGTCTTGTTTAAAATTGCCGTTGCATCTCGTAACATAAGCATACCTTCGTTATGCTTTCCTGTTTCGGAAAGAGCACTGGCAACATTGATAATCGATATCGCGACAGATTTTTGTGGGGCTTTGGTTTTCTGTTTTACTTCCAATGACTTTTTGAAATAGTAGAGCGTTTCGTCCTTGCGTTCCATCTTACGGTATGTCAGTCCCATGTTGTTGTAGCAGGATCCAATAGCAGGATGTCTTTCCCCCTCAGGATCTTCTGGAGTTTTGTAAAGTTGTTTCCTCCGGCGAAGAGCTTCTTCGTGATACCGAAGAGCGACGCTCATGTTCTCTGGGGATGTAAAAAAAGTGCATTTTCATTTGTCCTTTTTTTCAATAATAAAAGACAACACTAATTTTAATAGTTCCACGATGAAAAATAGCCAATAGAAATCAATATCCATCCAAAAAAATAGTTTTTGGCAATTAATATCAATCGAAAAAAACAGTTTTTGGCAATTAATATCCAAATAAAAAATCTTTACAAATAAATGTCTAAAGCGGACAGTATTTACCAAAACAAAAACAAAAAAGTGAAGTGCCGTAAACCAGTAGTCGACATATCAAGATCGTTTCACTGAGGATTGTGTGCTCTAGATAAGAATACAAAGTAGTGCATTGAGTATATATTGCAAAATATAGGGAAAGATTGTATAAAAATAAGATGTCAATATTTCTGGTGGTATGAGCGCTATTATGACACATTTCTGGTACATTTGTATAACAAATATTTTAATGAAATACAAAATGTACAATATTGGACGATATAATACAATTTTTTATCTGTAAGAGATCCTCAGCAGTTTTATATACAAGTATTGGAAAGTCATTTTTCTGGTAAAGTTCGGATATTTCCTCAATATTTATACATAGGCATTTATAGATAGAGGTATTTCGTATGGAGTTTACACGTTTTTAATCTATTATAGGTCATGGTGCTGAAAGAATCAGATCCTTTCACTTAGGAAATAAATTAAAGCAATAAGGATTCTAAGCAACGAAATGAATTCTGGAAAGAATGAAAATGAAGAAAATATAACTTATGACAATTTGAACAGTATAAATATGAAGAACGTTGATTTACGTACATATGATTACTTACCAGAGAGGTTGTGCGTTATTCCAAGTGACATCAACGTAGATAGGATTAGTTCGTCCGTGTACATCTTTAACTCGTTCTCAAACTCAAAAGCCTTTTCCAGATAACTAAAATAACGCCAAAATTACACAATTAACACAGTGAGTCAGGACAAACATTGCTATACGATCAGCAGTTTTAGTATGAAATAAGAAATCACTACTTACACGATAGCTTCACTTGTTCTGCCTTGGATAAACAGATTCCACCCCATTCTCTGATACGAGGTTGCCAGATGATAACGGATGTCCTTCCTCAGACCGTGGTAGCAACCGGACAATGACAGCGATGGGTCATCCCTGTAGTTTTCCAAGTACTGTATTGCAAGACGATATTTCGCCTCGCCTTCTTTAGAGATGCCCTAAATATATGACATCCCTTTAAATTTTGTCTTGATATTATGTACATTAGCATATAGAGCATCCAGAATACGGAGTTTATATAAAAACAAAAATAAAACAATTTAACTAGTATGTACCTTATGGAAAGCTTAGCTGCTATCTACATAAAACGTACGGTACCAAGTTTTTAGAACTAGTAATTCACTACCAGAAATGCCTAGTTCACATTCAATAGGGATTGTGGGATAGAAACAAAATAAAAATCTAAAGATGAAGAAGAATAAGGAATTAAACTCTGTTTCATCCTTAATAAAGAAATGAATAAAAAAAATGGAAAATGATTTCTACAACTCATGCTGATAATTCAACTTTCAGGTTTGAGATGCATTGTGAACAAGGCGTCACACTGACCTTGACATTGGTCAACGCTCCACCATAACACAACTGAACACATGCCTCGTCCAGCTTTCTGTTCAGTTTTGACGAGAGAACGGTAAGCTCTTGGTAGAACTGGAATCCGTCAGCTGTTAACGTAGGGGGAAACTTTAATAGTTCGCTACCAATATATCGTGAAATTTGTAATCCTCTTCCTTTCATACTCTACTGAACTGACCATAAAAGCATTTCTACTTATAAGGTAATTAACTGGGCAACATATAAAAAAAAACTGGTTAACGAACCAAGAACTGTCGTATTACATGTATTGTGAAGGGAACATGACAACAGCTTAAGTTACTCGTATAATTTCCTTTTAGTGTACGCTGTTAGGAGAACAAGTAAATAAACAGAATGGTGCGAGAGTTGTAGGAAATGCAACAATAAAGAAATATGAAAATCTTATCCAATATTTCTCAAATAAAGGCCTATATTAAAGCTGTGTGTATAGGAGTTGCCCTATTATAGATATTTAAACTGAGGTCATGTCCGTCCAGTCGACCTCAATAATGGTAACTATATATAGATACAAAAAAAACGGCTTGATTACAGAAAAATGTTGTATATAATAAATTATGACTGTTCTCCTAAAATCATTGACTGGACAGTTTGACAAAAGAATGGAATGCGATTGTGTAGCAGTTAATCGTTTTTCGTTCTTATGTATTTTTGTATTGTAGGAATTGACTAATTATGTTAAGGTAACATTACCGCCCATGAACTGCTGGATGACGTTGGACGCATTGACCGCTATCTCCATATACAGGCAATACATATCTTCGTTAGAGTAGACCAGCTCCACATTCGTTAGAAGCTTCTGGAAGTTCTGTTGTTCTTGGTTATACTGACACAGGGCGTCTGCGTATTCGGAAGTTGTCAGCATACTTCCGATTTTCGTCATTAAACGGGCAAATAGGAAACAGAACCTCTCCTTCGCCTCTACAAGTAAGTAAAGTTGAGTAGGAATTTATATTTCATTAACAAAATAACATCAACACTCCATTTGGAAATATAGGGGAATATAGATAGTAAGTACGTAAATATATATAGTAAAACCCCTTAATACTGCCATCATGTCCAGAGAATATATGTCTTATAAAAGAGTCGGCAAAAATTGAGGGAAACGCTAGAATAAAAATGAGAAAACGGGATTTTGAAATATATTGGCAGTAAGCGATCGAGGGGCATGCTACTTAGAATGTAGGTTTCATATACATTCAAACATATTTGTTTTGTATATGACAAGGACATGCCACAATTTGAATGTTTGAAAGTGGGATTATGAAGTCCTCTTATTTGCTATTTACCTTCATATGAAATATGTGAGTAATGTTCCTACCTGGGCTGTTCTTAACAGTCTCCAATAAGTCGTCAATACAGTTCCTTAGGATCCCTTGTATATCGTATCGCTGTGTGATGTCGTCCTGTTTCAGAAAATGTCGTCTTATCAATGGCGTAATGGTAGTTTCCATCGCCTCTTCGACGGTTGGATCATCTACACAAAGGACATAAAAGCTGATTATTCAAATTATCAATCAGGCTGGATTGTCAATTAACTATCCATATGCTATATTTCTTTAATTCTGACAAGTCAACACATTTATGGTGTGGCATTTTGACCGGATTTTCAGTATCCGTGATTCTTGCCACGTCACATACTACCTCCCGATCAAGAGAGAGCAATTGTGATTGTGGTCATGACACGACGATTTCAAGAGTAACCGACATGCAAAGCGGATAATGTAACGAAATTCCGATAGTCATATATGTTAATCAAATACTTACCGATCATCTCCCTCACGTGACTTGGAGTAAACGTTCCGGGTATGTACCCTATCATGGCCAGTTTGTGTCGCATGGACTCTGGTAAACGTTCCAGGAACGTGCCGTATATAGCATCTGGTGGGGAGAACATTTGATACTGATAAAATAGAAGGTCTATAAATTGATATGCTCACGATGTAAAACTCTTTGACTAAATTGAAATTACATTTTTTTCTTAACAAAAATATATATAAGAACTTAACATCAAGACATTTCATAAAAAATAAAATGATGAAAACCATCTTTGTATCAGTCAAGAACATGTGAATATGAATTTGAACCATTCCTTGGTATAGCAAAACCGAAAACCATACAATAGCGTCAACGCAAGGACAAAATTGGGTTTAAGTATTATCATAAATAGGCAACAACGGGAACAGAAAAAAATGGAAAACATTTGACACCAATCAGTCAGAAATGAAAAAGTAGTTGAAATGGATAGAGCAAACCAGTTCTTCAGTTCGTAATATAACCAGTATATTAAAGTTGAACATGATTTGTTGACAAAATAAGCATGTTGTTAAAGTCAAAAGAACATGAAAGTTATCATAACGATATACCAGCTTGATACTCACCTAATCTTTCGTTACGTGTATACATGAACTGACTTAAGGCCTCAAGACGACAGTTTTGAAGCGCCAGAGACATTTCCGCTACAGTCAGAGAGGAAGCGTCACTTCCGGTTCCTGTCAGCTCCGAAGCAACCATGGCGATGGCAAGAGGTAACCCCTCACACAACTCAATTATGGTCTTAAGATGTGGTCCAAAGTCCACGGACGGGGCATAACGACGAAGTAACGCCTCAGAATCTGTTGGCGAGAGAGGAGGTATCAGAAGGTCCATGCATTGCTCTTCGATGTCTTCGAAAACAACTTCCGTTGTCGATGTGATGATGATTTTGACATTCCTGCAGTTTTCAATCAAATGTTTACAAAACTGTTTGAACTCTTCTGCGCTTTCCCTCTCTAGTATATTCTCAGCGTCGTCAAACACTATTATGATGTCTGTATCTCCTCTTCCGGCCAGAGTGCTGCATATAGTTTCTGTCCAGATCGTGTCATCTTCCGGTGCTGACAGATTTAGAGCAGAGAATAAGGACAAACAAATCCCTCTTACACCAGATACCGTCCTTACCTTGATCGGCACCACCTTCACATAACACTCTTTGCTATCCTCTTTGAATTTCAAAAATTCTTCCACAAATCTCGACTTCCCAACTGATCGAATGCCATGAACTTGGAATAACCTTTTATTATTCCAATTTCGTGATAAAAACGTCCACTCTCTGTATCTTCCTATCAGTCGTTCTGCAGCCATTGAGCCTGAAAACGAAGTACATAGTCTACACAAACATTCCACCGAATCTATGTTAAATGTGTTCTGAACATTTACTCACCACATATCTCAACGGAAGCGTCCTACAGCTTTGTTTCTACAATGATGTCTTACTCCCCACAGATTTAAACGGAAGCGTCCTACAGCTTTATTTCTACAACGATGTCTTACTCCTCACAGATCTAAACGGAAGCGTCCTACAGCTTTGTTTCTACAACGATGTCTTACTCTCCACAGATGTAAACAGAAGCGTCCTACAGCTTTGTTTCTACAACGATGTCTTACTCTCCACAGATGTAAACAGAAGCGTCCTACAGCTTTGTTTCTACAACGATGTCTTACTCTCCACAGATGTAAACAGAAGCGTCCTACAGCTTTGTTTCTACAACGATGTCTTACTCTCCACAGATGTAAACAGAAGCGTCCTACAGCTTTGTTTCTACAACGATGTCTTACTCTCCACAGATGTAAACAGAAGCGTCCTACAGCTTTGTTTCTACAACGATGTCTTACTCTCCACAGATGTAAACAGAAGCGTCCTACAGCTTTGTTTCTACAACGATGTCTTACTCTGTTTACCTGAATAACGATACCGCTACTATATAGATAGTAGATACTTTATAGGTAGCTATAGATAGCAATCTAGTTAAATAACCAGGTGATAATCTTGTGATAACCGAAAAACCTAAAAACTTCTAAACAGTCCGTTTGAAAAGAAACATTATCTCTTCGTCTTATCAACAAGTTCCCTATATCATTTGTATGTGATATATCACGTTGTTCCCTCAATGACTGCAGTTCTAATCCAGGTTACATATTAATGTAGCTTCAAACAATCCAATGCTGAGCTATAAGTGTTATTTACTTTCCTGTTTCGTATTTCTAGTCATTATATTCATGTCGTAAGGTGTTTGACGCTCACGATCAGTCTCCGAGTAGGACCTTGTAGCTGTCATGTATTCTTGAATGGTTTACATGAACTATTGTTTTAAGAGTAACAATTTTCTGCAGTAGCTTAACATAGTAACACTGAAGATGAAACTCTCTATTAACGTCCGTTATTAAAACGATGTTATCTCTGTTGGCGACATTGTACGTGAACTGTTACTAGTCAGCGCCTGAACGTTTCTATATTGACAACTCTAACTGGTGTTAGGTTCGTTTCGGTTAAATAAGAATAATATTTTTCAAGCATTATTATCATTTTTATTGGTTATGTGTTGGGGTGGGGTTTTTGTTGATCATTAAAAAGTCAAAATGACATACTAATTGAATATTATATGAAACAATAATTGTGGTTCCTTTAGCGTCAAAATCCCATCCAGCTGTGACTTTCAATAATACTAGGAAAATGATATAAACTTTATTTTTTTCAACAGAGTAACAATTATTGCCAAAAAGGAGTGGGAACTCATCCGTATCTGCATATTTTTGAGATTATTTTTTTAACCCAAATTAAAATGAGAAAAAAAGTTCGTTTTGGTTTGTTAGCATTAACAGTTGAAGTACACAATGGGATTTAATACAATGTACTAATCTGGGGAACCCTGCAGATTAACCTGTATTTATAGTATAATCCTCCATTGTGGTTAGTTTTCACGCAAGACATGCTCTGAAAAAAATGTTGCACCCTATTGGCGAAGTTCTATTTATATCTTGCTTATTCGTATGCTCTGGTATTTTTAAGCTCAATCAATACAATTCTAAAACGTATATTTAATGCATAAATATACTTTGATTAAATTTGTCTTACCTACAACTATGCACCATTTGGTGAGGCTCTTTGGTCCAGCGTAAAGTATGATGACTAGCAGTAAACTGATATTGAAACACCGACACTCATATTTTTTTATAATGCCACCGTTTGTATATGAAGTTTTGATTGACAAATAAGCGGACTCTACTACTAATGTATATTGAAGGGTTAAGACTTTACCTTACGCCGAAAAGTGTTACCTCACCTGTTCCAGATCGCCCACGCCTTTATTTGTGACGATCAATCGATGGCACTGTAGCCAGGATGCGAAATTCAAAACGAAAATGGAATTCCCAACAGCCTTCCTTAGTAATGCTAACATGTTGACTGCAGGGAATACATGCTGTATGTAAATGATGTGCACGAGTGAGGGGGATACACTAAAAATAGAAACACGTCGCCATCAGGTAATGCAAAACTGTTTACGACAAGTCTCACTATCAGTATTAAAAAGATATATGTACTACACAAGTATGTATTTATAAACATGGTAAACATATCGTAAATCCTGGCAGGAGCGTGGCATTAGATTGAAACGTATGAAAAACTTAATTTTTTTCTCCTCAATACATTACTCCATATATACTGATAATTGGTAATCAGCTTTACTTAACTTAGTGTTGGTCATCTAGCTTCAAGCTGACTATTTGATATCACTTTTTTCGAAATCCTACATGTATTGGGTAGTTAGTTGCACATTCGACGCTATTTTTATTGTTCATGTTGTGATATTAAATAGGATTTTTATAAACTGTAAGATAATACAAACTGAAAGTATAAAGAATAAAATATACACCATGCAATTTTAATGTATGTTCGGAAAATTTACAGTTCTCTTTTCTTTTTCTTGTTCGTAACAATACATGTATACTGAAATGTCTGTCAAATTGAGCATATACTTACAAAACATAAATATAAAGAGGCGTATTAATATAACTTATGAATAACATTGAAAATTATGGATTTAATTAATTTTGTACATGTCTAAACATAAACATAATAATCACATTTACAACAGCATACATATTTCAGTTATACAAAGTTTGCACTCCACGAAATAGCAAAGAGCATTCTCAATGGATGTCCTGACTCACAATCTGCACTATGAACAAGGTTTTCTATGAAAAGGTCTTAATTAAATGTGTCCATGTCATCTTTCCGGGAAGCGTTAAAGTGAGTTCAGTACCGGGAAAACAAAAAATTGCAACTAGGGACAATCTTACGGATAAAAGTAACGTGAATTTGAAAATTTTGAAACAAATATGCTATTTATTTAAATGGCAAAAGTGCCATTGTAATCAATTATATGTAAAATAATTACCAATGTTTAGAAAACAATCCTTAATGAAAAGGTCATTATGTTAAACTAGTTTTTGCAGCAGCTGTAACGTATCACGTGACTGGTAGTCGACGAATTCGTTGTTTTGGTGACAGGTCTACTGTCAATGGTTTCTATACTTACGTTAAATACACCACAGCGAGTCTGTACTAACCTATATATGTACTGTTCTAATGTTACAGCCACTACGGCGTTGTGGTTACTATCTGTTTCGTGTCCCGCCAGAAGTTGTAATACTTCCACTCCTCTGAACGCTTCACTGAACCGTGGTTACTGAACCGTGGTATGTAGACATCAATCCGGGAATCCCATAGAATCACGTGACGAAAACGTGTAAGATGATATAAAGATGACAATATCGGATAAATGATGATATATACTTCACTCTAATAACACTTCAGAAATACTCACACTCTGCTATGTGTGGACATATAAGACTGCTGTGACGTCAGGTATAAACGAACTGTACACTGTGCTGTAAACAAGTTACACTTTCGTCCTACAGGTTATCGGCTGGCTATTTAACAGCTGCTACCTAATGTTGTTAAATGCGAGCACCAGGTACGTCTTGTCTGCTCCGATACCTAGTTCATTTTCTTACATTTGACATTTCACCAACCCACCCTCATGTCGCATTAAATTGTAGTTAGATGATAGCCCACTAAGGCCGTACCACTTACTTATACCAACTCGTCACACGATGTCTCCCTCAATCAGAGGTCTGAATAAAGGAGATTATAGGGGCGACATAGTTTTGTTATAAGTATGCATCATTCTTCGGTAACGCCTAGAGGCCATCCCCACCAGTCCCACTAAAGTACAACACAGATTTACCAAAACGTTACTCATCTATCATTGCATTGAAAAAATGAATATACATAGCAACTGTTAATAGATTCTAAAGCTTTTCAAATTAAATATATTACCGGCCGCTCTGCAAGAGAACATTTGCTTTGTTTTGAACAAAATTCATAGCTTTACCGTAATTGCCTTTAATGTAATGGGTCTTGGTATGTACACGAAAAAAGATATAAACATTAGTGTTATCTAAAGTCATGGAATTAGCCATTATTTATTGTTAAATCTAACTTGCATCTGATGAGATTTTTGTCATCCTGACTAATTTCCTGTTTTCAATTAGCTCCCTAAATGACGGTATGATTACCATGAAATCCAGCCCAATGATAAGTCAGGCTTACAGTCTACTATTAAATATCGGAGTTGCAATTTGATAATTGCATATGTTGAACTCATGCTTTCGTTATTCAAATTATTCATAGCGTCGATTTAATTTTGCCTGTAATAAGCATAAAGGCTGATGATTCATAAAAATATTTCATAGACACCATGGGGTGTCTTTCTCTTTCGTAACAAAACGGATACTACGAAATGGCGCCATATCTCAAATATATTTCTATTCCGAGGTGTTGCTGTTTAGGGGTTTATCGGCCTCGATTAAGTAACCAGTATCTGTGTGTTATTAAGTAACCAGTATCTGTGTGTTATTAAGTAACCAGTATTTGTGTGTTATTAAGTAACAAGTATCTGTGTGTTATTAAGTAACCAGTATCTGTGTGCTATTAAGTAACCAGTATCTGTGTGTTATTAAGTAACCAATATATGTGTGTTATTAAGTAACCAGTATCTGTGTGTTATTAAGTAACCAGTATCTGTGTGTTATTAAGTAACAAGTATCTGTGTGCTATTAAGTAACAAGTATCTGTGTGCTATTAAGTAACCAGTATCTATGAAGAAGTTGGTTTGTACTTTTATTTTTTGAATAATAGTATAATCTGTATTTTACGTTGAGATATTGTCTCATAGGTCAAATTGGCCGGATATTTATTCTATCTGAAATAATCTAGATATTTTAGGGATATTTTGCGGTAATTATGACTGGACTGCATTCGTACATACACCAGTCGATATTTTGGATAAGAAGAACTGGAAATATGTCAAGAAATATCGAAAGTTTATAACAGGAATACGTGTCTGTAATAGCGAATTGCACTTATCTGTAACAAGCGTTACGATGCATAGCTATTATAATAATCATTAATAAAATCAATTGGCTAATGTTCTGGGATTCAAAATAGCCGTAATTTTGCTGATAATGTTCAAAAATTGAAAATACTTTTGATTTAAATTGATCCAGAACGATACTGCAGATACAATACATTCTACTAAGTCGGGCAATAAGAAGTGATAGAAAAGGACGTTACAGTTTAAATAAAAACCTTACATGTACATAGCCTTGTGTAAAACTCTCCAGAATGATGAGTAGATTTTTTAATATTTAAAGTATTCTCATTCGGAAAGAGAGATTTGTGAGCATTTATAAACATATACATTTTCACCTTTTTTGTACATAAAATGTCATTTATGAATTTTCAATTATAATCTCAGCAAATCAAAATAAAAACAAATCAGTTTTAAGGCTACTGTTTCGATTTTTTTGCAATTTATATTGCTTTGCATTAGTGTAGAAAATGTATGATTAACACAATCTAAAAAATGATATTTCAAATCGTCGAATGTAATAAGGAGTTGCTTCCCTTCCATCATAATTTCACCTTAACACCAAGACCGGAACTGATCTATGGATTTTTAACTGGCATGTGTATAGTTAAAGCGGCTGTTCATTTTAATTGGTGGTTTTTTTTTCTACCTATGATATTTTAGATTTTCATGGGGTTTTTTTGGAAATGCCCAGTGCTTTTTTTCAGAAATGCCCCAGGGAGAACATGACACTGCCTTAGACATAACTCTCACATCGATATATCAACATTAATATCAATCAATCACCTCCTGTTACGTAAAGCACGATTATATAATTACATTCCCAATTTATTCATTTGATCAACGTATATGTACAGCAATCTGTCTAACAATAACAGATTTCACGTCTTGCGTAATATGATGTGTTATATAAATCATTGGTTTAAATAATGAGTTGTTTACTGTACACAAGTCATTTCTGTTTATTTATTAAGGATCAACCGCCTGTCGTTGAACAATAACACTCAGAAAGCTAGACGACTCTACTGGTTGTATTTCCAAAACATTCGCTGTAAGTCAAAGACGTCTTTTGAGATAAGTTAGCAGTTTTGTTTCAAACATATGCAATTTGATAATCAATATTATATTTCAATAAGATTCATCAATACATAACCATTCTTCAAGTACGGAATCGTATCGATTGAGTCAATGTGAGATATGAGTTTCTCACCTGGTTTATAAATTGATCATCAATAAAACCAAAAGAAGATGAGACATCTATCCCCACAATACCAGGAACTGAGGAGACATCGATCCCCACAACATTAGGAACTGAGGAAGACATCGATCTCCACGACACCAGGAACTGAGGAGACATCGATCCCCACAACACCAGGAACTGTGGAGACATCGATCTCCACGACACCAGGAACTGATGAGACATCAATCCCCACAACACCAGGAACTGTGGAGACATCAATCCCCACAATACCAGGAATTGAGGGGACATTTATCCCAACAACACCAGGAACTGTGGAGACATCAATCCAAACAACACCAGGAACTGAGGTGACACCAATCCCAACAACACCAGGAACTGTGGAGACATCAATCCCCACAACATCAGGAACTGTAGAGACATCAATCCCCACAACACCAGGAACTAAGGGGACATTAATTCCCACAACACCGGGAACTGAGGGGACATCTATCTCCTCAACACCAGGAGTTAAGGGGACATCAATCTCCACAGGAACTGGGGGTACATCAATACCAACAACACCAGGAACTGTGGAGACATCAATTCCCACTACATCAGGAACTGAGGAGATATCAAACCCTACAACACCAGGATCTGAGAAGAAACTAATCCCCACAACGCCAGGAACTGAGCTGACATCAATCCCCACAACACCAGGATCTGTAGAGACATCAATCCCCACAACACCAGGAACTAAGGGGACATTAATCCCTACAACACCAGGAACTGTGGAGACATCAATCCCCACAACACCAGGAACTAAGGGGACATCAATACCCACAACACCAGGAACTGTGGGGACATTAATCCCCACAACATCAGGAACTCTGGAGACATCAATCCCCACATAACCAGGAACTGAGAGGACATCAATCCCCACAACACCAGGAACTGAGGGGACATTAATCCCCACAACATCAGGAACTCTGGAGACATCAATCCCCACAACACCAGGAACTGAGAGGACATCAATCCCCACAACACAAGGAACTGAAGAGATATCAATCCCAACAACACCAGAAACTGATGAGAAATCAATCCTCACAACACCAGGACCTAATGGGACATCAATATCCACAACACCAGGATCCGAGGGAACATCAATCCCTACAACACCAGGAACTGTGGAGACACCAATCCCTACAACACCAGGAACTAAGGGGACATCAATACCCCACCACACCTGGAACTGAGGGAACATCAATCCCCACAACACCGGGAACTGTGGAGACATCAATCTCTACAACACCAGGAAATGAGGAGAAATCAATCCCCACAACACCAGGAACTGTGGAGACATCAATCCCTACAACAACAGGAACTGTGGAGACATCAATCCCCACAACACCAGGAACTGAGCGGACATCAATCCCCACAACACCAGGAACTGAAGAGACATCAATCCCCACAACACCGGGAAATGAGGAGACATAAATTAGAACCATATGTAGTACCTGTCATAATGTTTCTCGTCCTATTCGTACACACGCTTACACCTTTCCCAGTCAGTATTTGTATTGTGTTTATCGTTCAATATTGTTTTTTGAGATTACTTAGTACCATACATTAGTTGAATTTACATATATTGTTACATTTGCGATCAGATAGCACAGTTCCATATGTTACTATCATATTTCGTAACGATAATCCTTATAATTTTTGTTCCTATTTTAATTAATAAATGGCAACATATGTTCGGAAAATATCATATATCCAGAATGAGTAAGTTGCCACGATTGCTAAACGTTGGGATGAATGGCATGAACTACCGAAACATAAAGCGTTCTTATTCATTAAGAATATTCAAAGGTGTTCTCCAATTTGTATAAATGTATATTATATACAGATCGACATTACATTTACTACCGCTACAAACCGTGATCAGGTAGGATGGTATAAATTTAGATTGACGTTATAGTGGCTGTTATTAATCCTTCTCGGTTTAATAAAACGTTGATGGTATACCTTCTCTTTGGTCTGGTTATCAACTTACCATGTTTTATTAAGACATAGACACTGACTTAGGCACCAAGTAATTTCCTCTGAAGAGTGTAGTTTAGCACATTCAGCGAATTCCTAGGGCGCTACTTATGAATATTTGAAGAAAGGTTTTCAACCAATGAGATGGCAGTGACTGTATAATATATAGCAGTATACAATCGGACAAGTATACCTACTAGTATACAATTATGTGTTCTGTGGTTACGCTTGGTTCTTGTATGTTGGATAGCCCTCTCCGCGCGTTTTTATACGGGTAACTGGTACGGTATGTGTGTATTAATGCTGTTTATGTTGCAGATTGTTTCATCTTCTGTTTTATGAGGATAAGAAGAAGGTCGATTTACAACACCAAGCGTCCGTATATATTTGAATATTTTACATTTCTTTCCGAGACGATGTTAACGCTGTAAACGGAAATTTGATGTCAGATATTCAATTTCTTGAGTTATACGATATTAATAGTAAGAATTATGCCGTTATATATATTTTTTATAACGGATGGTCGACATATAGTAGTATACTGGTAGTTTCTCTATATATACGTATATCTCTCACGTAACGTCTAATTCTACACAACATGTAATGGATAAACATCCAATAACAGCCTATAAAGGTTTTGGTTTGTGATATTTATAACATGTTTTAAACTAAATGTACGTTATACCTGCAAATTACTGAGGATTTTTATAGAGGAGCTTTATATAATATATTCAAAATTGTATTGATATTGGTGATTATGCCAGGTAGACACGATTCAATCAGATGTTTGTAATTCATTTAAGGTTAATTTGATTTGATTATTAGGAGCGATGACAAATAACTACTTTGTGTCCGATTATGATGTGTGCTCTCTACTTTTTACGATCCTTTTTGTGCGGAAAAAAAATCAATCACGAGGTGACTATTATAAATCTTTTGTCTATTTACACATGATATATAAATTGTATTTATTTTGCAACGACAATTACCTTATTAGCGATCAGTTCATATAATTACAGCTAATTGTGTATATTTAACTTCATCTATAGAAAAACCTACAGGTTTTGCTCACGATATGACTAAAAAACTCAATTTTGCCATTTCAGAAATACATGATAAAAATTAATTATAATTTGATGAATAAAAATATTTATAGATGTAATAATAGCAGCATACATTTCTATTACTAGATATGTTTAAGACAAAAATTATTTCATTCTAGAGCAAATATTACGCATTCTTTTATTCGACAAACGCAAAAGTGATTAAATCTAAGCGTACAATAACGCATTCAAAATTGTTTTTACTAAATGAAAACTTCATATTTTAAATTAAACCTTTAGATCGTGTGTAAATGTTTTATGATATTATACATTAAATTCAAACAACATCCTGAACTTTTGATGATTGTATTCAATTCGTCAAACGCACAAATATTGTGTTTATGGAAAATTATTCATAAAAGAATACTATAACATACTATTCTGTTGATATTTGTTTAAATATAATTGTTTAATTCAATATTGTATATAAATGACAACAGAAACATGTACTACGACAGCGCAGTAATATTAACAGAAACATGTACTATGACAGTGCAGTAATATTAACAGAAACATGTATTATGACAGTGCGGTAATATTAACAGAAACATGTATTATGACAGTGCGGTAATATTAACAGAAACATGTATTATGACAGTGCAGTAATATTAACAGAAACAGGTATTATGACAGTGCAGTAATATTAACAGAAACACGTATTATGACAGTGCAGTAATATTAACAGAAACATGTATTATGACAGTGCAGTAATATTAACAGAAACATCTACTACGATAAACAAGTGTTCTTTATAAATGTAGTTGTATCCGCGTTTGTTATAAGAACATTAGTTGGCTATATACTGTGGCAGGAGCTCCATATATAATGTTTAGAAATACAAAGGTGTTTAGGATAAAGCAGACTGATACCAGTACTCTAGACAGCAATCCATCTGGAGCCATTGTTCTATTGTCCCAATAAAGTTGTGTCGTTTTGCAACTTTATATCCTCACCTACTAATTAATGTTCATTATCTGGTACGTTAAAAGGAGTGCAAACTTCATTTTACTGACATCGCCTACCATAATAGACTTAGCGGTTTGATTGTAAATGTCAGCATTTACAACATTCTTAACAATTGAATGGACAATTTAAAAGTATTGTGACAATGAGGGTCAGTATTAACTACAGTATGGTAACAGTTAGTTTACTGGCACGTTTAAGCGGTGTATCTTGTATCTTTTGTCATATATATTGACTATTTACAATGCTGAAAAAAGGTGCTGATTGTACCTTGCCAACCACACATGATAAACAAACCAACACAATATTAAACAGACACCAGAGTCGCGACAGTAATGCCAGCCATTGACCATTCCTCGATCATTGTTATGATGTATGAACAGAAAAAGAAATTACTTTTAATATTTGTATAATATAACACAGTTGCAAGGTTATTCAGGCCGGTATATTGGTTCTGGAAGGCCATGGAAGATGGTATAGTAACGTTAAGAAGTAGATAGTGGTATGGGGATTTGACGTGAAATATTAAAGCACTCCTGGTGTTGTTATCCCGATAACTGGTCATGAATTTCACCAAACTCACAATATCATTAATAAATGTGATTGTTTTAACTGATTAGACGAAATTTCTTCCCAAAAATTACACGAAAAATTAAAAAATGGGGAGTATACAATACACACGAAAATCTCCACACGCTTAAATCTATTGATATTTTACACAATGATGCGTAGAAATGTATTGATATTATACACAATGATGCGTAGAAATGTATTGATACGATGCATAAAAGCATTCAAAAGGAATATGCAAACATTCTAAAACTATACAATATTGCTTCAATATCAGGATACACCGTCGTAAACAAAGCCTACACGATTCTTTAGAATTGAACAAGTTAAACAATACATACAGTTCCTGGTTTCAACAATATATACTTCAGCAATTATTTTCAAATTAGTCAAACTCTGTTTGTAGAGACATAGAAATATCAAACAACGTTTGGAATATCTGTGAATCTAATTTCATAGCATTTCATCACTTATAAGTATAATAAAGATAAGTCTTGGTTGACTAGAATAGTTAAATTCTGAAAAGGAAGTAAATTGAAAGCTGGATATATACAGTCCTAACGTTATCATAATTGTATCTGGTATTTAACATGCAGTATGTATAATCACGCAGTGTCGTATGAATCAAACAATTACGTATTCAGCATCAATAGTACAGTTAATAGGATATCGAGGAAGTAACGGCCAATGCGGAAGTGGGTTTAGCCAATGACGAGACGACTGCTTGACGAGTAGATACGATTAAACATCAGAACTATAACAGACATTGCGACATAACTTAAATACTATAACAGACATAACAATATAACGTTAGAACTATAACAGACATTACAATATAACGTTAGAACTATAACAGACATTATGATATAACGTTATAACTATAACAGACATTACAATATAACGTTATAACTATAACAGACATTACAATATAACGTTAGAACTATAACATACATTACAATATGACGTTATAACTATAATAGATAGTATGATATAACGTTATAACTATAATAGACATTATGATATAACGTTAGAGCTATAATAGACATCATGATATAACGTTATAACTATAATAAACCTCATGATATAACGTTATAACTATAATCAATATTATGATATAACGTTAGAGCTATAATAGACATTATGATATAACGTTATCACTATAATAGAGATTATGATATAACGTTATAGCTATAATAGACATCATGATATAACGTTATAACTATAATAAACCTCATGATATAACGTTATAACTATAATAGACATCATGATATAACGTTATAACTATAATAGACCTCATGATATGACGTTATAACTATAATAGACCTCATGATATAACGTTATAACTATAATAGACCTCATGATATGACGTTATAACTATAATAGACATTATGATATAACGTTATAACTATAACAGACATTACAACATAACGTTAGAACTATAACAGACATTACAATATAACGTTATAACTATAATAGACCTCATGATATAACGTTATAACTATAATAGACATAATGAAATAACGTTATAACTATAATAGACATGATGATATAACGTTATAACTATAACAGACATTACAACATAACGTTAGAACTATAACAGACATTACAATATAACGTTATAACTATAATAGACCTCATGATATGACGTTATAACTATAATAGACATTATGATATAACGTTAGAGCTATAACAGACATCATGATATAACGTTATAACTATAATAAACCTCATGATATAACGTTATAACTATAATCAATATTATGATATAACGTTAGAGCTATAATAGACATCATGATATGACGTTATAACTATAAAAGACATTATGATATAACGTTAGAACTAAAATAGACATCATGATATAACGTTATAACTATAATAGACATTATGATATAACGTAATAACTATAATAGATAGTATGATATAACGTTATAACTATAAAAGACATCAATATATCACGTTATAACTATAATAGACATCATGAAATAACGTAATAACTATAATACACATCATGATATAACGTTATAACTATAATAGACATCTCAATATATCACGTTATAACTATAATAGACATCATGAAATAACGTAATAACTATAATACACATCATGATATAACGTTATAACTATAATAGACATCATGATATGACGTTATAACTATAATAGACATCATGATATAACTCTATAACTATAATAGACATCATGATATAACGTTATAACTATAATAGACCTCATGATATAACGTTATAGCTATAAAAGACATCATGATATAACGTTCTAACTATATTAGACATCATGATATAACGATATAACTATAATAGACCTCATGATATAACGTTATAGCTATAATAGACATCATGATATAACGTTATAACTATAATAAACATCATGATATAACGTTTTAACTATAATAGACCTCATGATATAACGTTATAGCTATAAAAGACATCATGATACAACGTTCTAACTATATTAGACATCATGATATAACGATATAACTATAATAGACCTCATGATATAACGTTATAGCTATAATGGACATCATGATATAACGTTATAACTATAATAGCCCTCATGATATAACGTTATAGCTATAATAGACATCATGATATAACGTTATAACTATAATAAACATCATGATATAACGTTTTAACTATAATAGACCTCATGATATAACGTTATAGCTATAATGGACATCATGATATAACGTTATAACTATAATAGACATTATGGTATAACGTTATAACTATAATAGACATTATGGTATAACGTTATAACTATAATAGACATTATGATATAACGTTATAACTATAACAGACATTACAATATAACGTTAGAACTATAACAGACATTACAATATAACGTTATAACTATAATAGACATAATGAAATAACGTTATAACTATAATAGACATCATGATATAACCTTATAACTAAAATAGACATCATGATATAACGTGATACCTATAATAGACATTATGATATAACGTAATAACTATAATAGATAGTATGATATAACGTTATAACTATAATAGACATCAATATATCACGTTATAACTATAATAGACATTATGAAATAACGTAATAACTATAATACACATCATAATATCACGTTATAACTATAATAGACATTATGATAAAACGTAATAACTATAATAGACATCATGATATAACGTCATAACTATAATAGACATCATGATATAACGTTATAACTATAATAGACATCATGATAAAACGTAATAACTATAATAGACATCATGAAATAACGTTATAACTATAATACACATCATGATAAAACGTAACAACTATAATAGACATCATGATATAACGTTATAACTATAATAGACATCATGATATGACGTTATAACTATAATAGACATCAATATATCACGTTATAACTATAATAGACATTATGAAATAACGTTATAACTATAATACACATCATGATAAAACGTAATAACTATAATAGACATCATGATATAACGTTATAACTATAATAGACATTATAATATAACGTAATAACTATACTAGATAGTATGATATAACGTTTTATTACATACTTACTAATAAATACGGGTTTTTTGTATATGCGATATGACACAATTTCTCTAAACCATATCAGCCCTCGCCGTCTTTATAACTATAATAGACATTATGATAAAACGTAATAACTATAATAGACATCATTATATAACGTTATAACTATAATAGACCTCATGATATAACGTTATAACTATAATCAATATTATGATATAACGTTAGAGCTATAAAAGACATCATGATATAACGTTATTTCATTATGTCTATTATAGTTACAACGTTATATCATGATGTCTATTATTATTACGTTATATTATAATGTCTATTATAGTTATAACGTGATATCATGATGTCTATTATAGTTATGACGTTATATCATGATGTCTATTATATAACAGACATTACAATATAACGTTATAACTATAATAGACATAATGAAATAACGTTATAACTATAATCAACATTATGATATAACGTTAGAGCTATAAAAGACATCATGATATAACGTTATAACTATAATAGACATTATGATATAACGTATTAACTATAATAGATAGTATGATATAACGTTATAACTATAAATGACCTCATGATAGAACGTTATAACTATAATAGACTTCATGATATAACGTTACAACTATAAAAGACATCAGTATATAACGTTATAACTATAATAGACATCATGATATAACGTTATAACTATAATAGACATCGTGATATAACGTTGGGAACTAAAACAGACATTATAATATAACGTTAGAGCTATGACAGGTATTACAATATAACAGACATTATCTTAGTGTCTTATAGTCTTATCAAATTATCAATATCTATTATATCATCATGTAACTATTTTGTGAATTTGATTGATTGATTTAGATCTAAGGGGCCCCATTGGAATTAAGCCACAATGTGGCTTTATGTGTCATCCCAGGTAAAGGCTTAAAATAATCTAATCCAATCCAGTTGTTAACACCTGACTGTTTACTAGTTATATGGCATAAATAACTTGTAAATATGTCCAATCTGCAAAATAGTAATATGTATTCAGGTAAAAGGCAGATAATACACTATCTGCCTTTTACCCGAATAATAGTATTAGTATTATTATTATATAACGTCAGAACTATAAGAGACATTACATAAGGTCAGAACTATAACAGACATTACATAACGGCAGAACTATAACAGACATTACATAACATTACATAACGTCACAACTATAACAGACATTACATAACGTCACAACTATAACAGACATTACATAACGTCAGAACTATAAGAGACATTACATAAGGTCAGAACTATAACAGACATTACATAACGTCACAACTATAACAGACATTACATAACGTCACAACTAAAACAGACATTACATAACGTCACAACTATAACAGACATAACATAACGTAACAATCATCTGCTATGAATGCCCTAACCTGATGACGTCATCATTATTATGACGTTCTAATTTAATGTTGGTTTACAATGACTGTCTCTCGACAGATGGCTATATCATTGATTGAACAATCATATGTGCCAACTAAATACAGCCCAATGTATAAGTAAACATTACGACTTATCAATTATTTGCTTTTCAGCATTTTCCCATTGTAAGATGTCTTCCATTGTTTTTTTGCTATATTTAACAGTATCTTTCTAGTGGTTATTGACACTTGTTTGTATTACGGGCACACAATAGAACAACGTAGTATACCAAACAGAACATCTTAGTGGCCGACATATGCGGAGTAAACTTAGAGGATCTGGCTATGTAGAATTTATAGGTGACCTAGATAAAGATATATGGGTAAACTAGATGTACGACTAGTGATAGTTAAGTACGCAGATACACTACACAGCCTAGTGTGTTGTGAGATAACCAGAAGATGTTTACACAGAATTTACGTAGTAGGTGATTCCGGACAAACATTAGTTTAGTCTCGAGATAGTTGACCGTTAACTTTTCTCACATAACACCTCATTTACATAATCCATTTTCTCTCTGTTTCCTTCCTATCAATCTTACCTGATAATAATGTGTCGTCCAATATTAGTTTGCAAGGCATAAACGAGGATGGTGTCTCGTCGTGATGGTGTCTTATCAGAAGCGTGTCGTGTCAGGTTTTGACGGTACCCCGTCCTGGTGGTGCCTTATCAGAAGTGTGTCGTGTCAGGTTCTGACGGTACCCGGTCCTGATGGTGTCTCATCAGAAGTGTGTCGTGTCAGGTTCTGACGGTACCCCGTCGTGATGGTGTCTTATCAGAAGTGTGTCGTGTCAGGTTCTGACGGTACCCCGTCCTGATGGTGTCCCGCTGTGGTAGCGTCCCGTCATGATTGTGCCATTTCAAGTCGGGAGTGTGTCCGGTCCTAACGGCTTCCTGTCCTGATGGTGATACGTCCCCTTTGTAAAGTTGAACTTTCTTTCAATTTATTGTATTCTTTCCATCACCAAAATGTCCTACTGTAAACACCTAAGTGACATTTCACATTGTCATGGATATCAAAGTAAGGTTACCTCCAGTTCTGTCCCTCTACTGTTACTTCTAGATCAACTTGTTACTTCCGGGTCTTTTAATAGACATTTACGGTACATCATATTGTTACATCATATTGTTACACTAGATATTTACGGTACGTTTATTGTTACTTCATATTGTTACACTAGACATTTTCTGTACGGTCAGTTCTACTGTTTACTGAACTTTTATTGAACTTTTGCTATCATCAATATTACAATATCTCTCGATCGTTTATCAACAGAAACGCCGACTTTTATTTGAATAGATTGTTGGTTTGTTTGTCATTCTTTATCTGAGGTGGCTCAAATGGTTAGAGCGTCCGTCTAGAGTTGGGAGGTCCCAGTTTCGAATCCCCGTCTGGCCGTTACCTGTTACAGTTACATCTCTGAGGATGCTTTGTTCAACAGCAAAAATCTCACAAGAAACTATTTTAAAGCAGTACTATATAATGTCCAATGTCAGTTAACCTTATATGTCAATCATGTTTATGTTTTACTCCGTTTATAGACCTAACATGCTGACGACATGTGTAAGATGTGTATGTCCATTTATAATTTATAACTTATACAGTTATACGTGTTGATATGTTGTAAATATACCTTATCAATCTATAAATACTTACAGGTGTTGATGACGTGTTCTAGATATACAAAGACATTATCAATCTATACAATTATATGTTCTGGATATATTTATAGATAACAAGTGTTGACGACAGGTTCTAGATATACTTCTTACCTCCAGTGACTCGTTTGACTTGACAAGGTCGTTGACCCTGCTGGTGAACTATGAGTACCGAACATTGGCCGTAACCTTGTGGTAGGAATTTATTCTGGCACATATGACGTTAAATATTAGTTTAAGATTAACATATCTGTTGTAGCTAAATATGTCAACTTGTAACGTTAAGAACACCCTCACCTTTCTCTATACTTAGGTATGCGTCTCTGAACACTAAGAGTGTGTATTTTTCATTGTTTTGATCTTAATTACCACTGATCAGACCTAAATGTAGGCTACAGCGGGTGGACACACTAGCTCAATAGACACTTTCTGTTGTAGTGATAATACCTTGTTTATGTTGATGCCATTTTCTATATGTACCCTATTAACTATAATGGGTTAAGCCATGGTCCCAGACATACTCATGTACATGAACTTAAACGTATTTGTCAATTGTGTAAGGTAAGAGATATCGGAGATGAACTTCATTATATATTTGAATATAAATTGATAATATATTTTCCTTGAATAACAAGAATTGCACAAAAACTTGTACATTTCATTCATCCTGGAGTATTACATCAATGGTCACCTAGCTACCAAACACTATGTCAAACGGAATCACGATCCTAAACTTGTATACCACTGCGCCACTGTAATCCTTGGGTTAATGCCCCTCCTTGTGGAATTACATACCAACGTTGGTATACTACATGTCACTGCTGATTATCCATTCCAAGATTATAATATTAGCATGGCACTGTTGATAGTCTATCCTTGACTGTAATAGACTATTTAGCCAGGGCTATCCACATGAGAGGCTTCGATCCACGTTGAAGAATTTTACAGTGATCCTAGTCATGTTAAACGATTTGTTCACAATGCTTCACATGGTAGGCTAAATGTGACCTTCTCGAGTTTTATGAGACATTTTAATCCCAGTGACGACTTCCTTTAGGTACATTATCTCTTCGACTTCTCTCCATACACCTCTAAATTTGACAAGCAATCGGTATATCGATTGCCCCAAGAAGATTTAAAAGATCTATACGAAAGGATCTGATGAAAAGCCGACACAAATTGTCCCCGACGTCGAGCGACATTATGACGGTGTCACACGTTTTCCCAGCGCTTGGTTTGAAGCCTCCAGTTTCATTTTGTTTTGATTTTGAATTCATATATAAATATGTCCTGGTATATTGACTATGTCGTATACTTTTAGTCCTTTTTGTGGGACATCATCTAAGTTTGGTAACTCCACGTGTGCTGGTCAATATTTTAATCGGCAGTGTTAACATATGTTGGTCAATATTTAAATCTGCTTTCTTCAGGTCTGTTGGAGATCATTTGAATTTGCTATCTTCACCTTTGTTGGCCATTATTTGAATCTTTATCCTCAATTTTGTCAGACAATATTGAACGTTTGCTATTTTTATTTTTGGACATTATTAACATCTGCTTCCCTCATTTGTTTTATTTTTATTGAATGTCTGGATTTTTTTTCATTTTTGTCCAACATTAATAAACATCTGCTATTAACATTTTTGTTAGACATTATATAAATCTCCTATCCACACTTTTGTTAGAATTCTCAAGTCTGCTATTCTCATTTGTGTTGGACATTATCAAACATCTGCTATCCTCATTTTATTTTTTATATATACATGTATATATATTATTGAATGTTTTTTTGTTTTTTGTTTTATTTTCGTTTGACATTATGAAACATCTCCTTTCGTTACATTTGCTACACACATGGAATCTTCCCTATAATCTACTTCCTTTCCCAGGCGGTGTCTCCCTGGGCAACCTTCCTTATATGACCCTGGCTGTTACGAGGGCGTTAAACCCCAAACAAGCAAACAAACAGACATAATTAGGGGTCTACTTTCCTCGCGTTTGTTGACACTGTTGACGTCTACCGACTGCACTGTTGTTACAACTCCTACCTTTTTTAACCATTTTGCCATTGATCATTTTTGTCGGACATAAACAACTACCTGTTCTCCTCGATAGCATTTAATTTCGATAATACATAAATAATTAGATTTTGATGCGAGTGGCTTTTATTTCCAGAGTGTGAGCATTTTTAGTTCTCTTAGTGTCTTTTCGTGTTGAATTGCGTTGGAATTTTGTCCTCATATATCTATACTGTAGAATATTGGTATTCTATTTCGTATGTTTCTGATGATTATTTTGCTAGACTATCAGTCAACGAGTTCGGATGAAGCCTGGTCTCGTTCCTGGAATGTTTGGCATGATTTATTTATAAATACTAGGTAAAACAAAATTGGTATTTCTAACGTCATAAGGGGAACCTTTCTAGCACCATAAGGGATAACTTTCTAACATCATAAGGGGTACCTTTCTAACATCATAAGGGGTACCTTTCTAACATCATAAGGGGTACTTTTCTAACGTCATAAGGGGTACCTTTCTAACATCATAAGGGGTATCTTTCTAACGTCATAAGGGGTACCTTTCTAACATCATATAACATCATAAGGGGTACCTTTCTAACATCATAAGGGGTAACTTTCTAACATCATAATGGGTACCTTTCTAACATCATAATGGGTACCTTTCTAACATCATAATGGGTACCTTTCTAACATTATAAGGGGTACCTTTCTAACGTCATAAGGGGTAACTTTCTAACGGATAAAATGAATAACGCGCATTATGATTAGTTGTCTGCAATCCTGTTCCGTGTTATAGGACCATAACACGGAACAGAATACTGTTTTATGCTTATATTTAAATTTATTTTTTTCTAATTTTATATTTCTAAGTTCACAACACATTTTAAAATTTAAATTTCGCAGTGTTTGTTCAAGAGATAGAACAGCCCATGGAATTGCTCACGGAATGTTGTCACGTGACTTTTCCCGTACAAAAAAAATATTTTGTGGAAATAATCACAAAATTATCGATACTTTTTTCATAATTTAACCAAACAATATATTCAATTCACATTATATAATAGACTTACATAAGACAGTAAATATTATTGAATCATAGTGAGTTTTTTTGCTTATCCGTTTGAAATTCTTAGGTGAATAGCTATCCGGTAGTTAGTCAGTCCCGCGGAGATATCACTACGCCTGTGTTATGGTCTCATAACATGGGACTGGCCTTGGTAGTGTTATAAAGTGGCAATGCAAAGCAAATGTAAATATAACGTTTTAAGGGATAATGTAATGTTACAAAAGGCAATTTTCTAACGTTATAGGGGTTAAAGTTCTCGCGTTATCAGGTGTAACGTAACGTAACGTATAACGGGGTAATTTTCTAACGTTAACAGGGGTAAATTTCTAACGTTATAGAGGTTAAAGTTCTCGCGTTATTAGGGGTAACGTAACGTATAACGGGGTAATTTTCTAACGTTAACAGGGGTACATTCTTATAAGTCTATCGTCATCATATGGTTCTTTGGTTTCCATGTAAAGATGATAGGAATTGCTTAAATGTTTAATGTATTGATGTGGTGTAACTCTTCAATTTGGAGGAAATAAAGAAATAATAATATTAATGCTTAGGGTCAGAGCCACGAGTTGTACAGGAACTGTCTGGTTGTCATCATGCTTAGGGTCATAGCCACGAGTTATACAAGAACTGTGAGGTTGTTGTCATGCTTAGGGTCAGAGCCACGAGTTATACAGGAACTATGAGGTTGTCATCATGCTTTGGGTCAGAGCCACGAGATATACAAAAACATTTTTTTCCTATAGCCACGGTTAATATACACGGTTATTGTAGCATATATTCTCATGTTTTTGTTACTTTCCTGATGTCACGATGGACATTTATTGAGTGTTTGATATGAAATGTGAGAACTATTGTTTAAAAAAAGTGTGAAAAGCTTACGTTGTTGCCAGTCTAGGTAATAAAACGTACATTAAGCGGTAGGTTATAGAGTTGTGGTGTTAGACTACCTGGTCAGTTGTAGCTGTACGTGGTAGTGTTGCTCCACTAATCAGTTATAACTTAGGTGTAGCTTTAAAGGGGAATGTGTAGCGGGACTGACCGGGTGACTGGCGATGACCATATCCCATCTTTTCATTAACAACAAAATTCACAGAGATTCCTTATCTTAAAATTTTACAAAAGAAGCCTTTCTGAAGTTAGTACTGAAATCATCATTACACGGTTCACGGTACGTTAGTACAAATCACATTTCACACGGATCAGAGACGGTAATAATAATCACGCAAAACAAATTCCTAAAATCGCACCTTACCCATAAAAGGTAATGGCCGTAAGGTAATTTA